TTAGGTATTATTTCATTATTTGATAATGTACTCGTAAAATGCAAACAATTAAAAAAAAACGGACTTACCACTAATTGTCTCAGCGCTTCACCTGGTTAAAAGTTTATAGAACGTATTAAAAAATCCACTTATAAATAGGAAACACAATTTTGATACATACATTGTTTTTCTTTTTAAAACCCACACAGCACTTTTTTGTATTTAAAGGTGGTCAAAATGTCGTCCTCCACTTTCCACGCAAGCTTCATTACGACGAACCCAGTTTCTTCTTACTCTAGGTCCTCGAAGTTGTCCATTTATTATACTAAGTGACATATAAATCCGAACACCCAGTTTAAATGGTTTTATTTTGATAAAAGTTGGTGAATGTATTTATCTTACTGTAAATAACAAGTGAAAAAATTTTCAGCCTTATCAGTTGGACATTCCGGTTTTTATACTGCTTTTTTTTAATTCACTAACGCTCTAAAAATGAATATTTCAGCCGCAGTAAAGAATCAATGTTGGCGGATTTTGGTTCTTGACATCCTTTACGATCGGTTACGATGCCTAGAGTACGGAGACCTGTACGATTTCGTCAACTTAGTGAGTTTGATAGGGGCCGTATAGTGGGACTTCGGGAAGCTGGACTTTCTTTTCGGGCAATTGCAGTTAGAGTACAAAGAAGTGTAGACACTGTGGTTGGGTGTTGTCAGGCATGGCTTCGAGAAGGCCGTACGCAAAGAGCAAGGGGCACTGGACGCCGCCGTAGAACAACAGACCGTGAAGATCGCCGCCTGAGATTATTGGCCTTAAGGGACCGTTTCTCCACGACCAGGTCCATTGCAAATGAATGGTTTGCAGAACACGGAAGACCTATTGGCATGCGAAGTGTTTACCGACGAATGAGAAGTTTTGACTTGTTTTCATACCGGCCACACTGGGTCCTCCCTTTAACTCGAGAACACCGACGTAATCGCCTTGAGTGGTGCAGACAACGGTCACTCTGGGATCAGGAATGGAACAGTATTGTCTTCAGTGACGAGTCTCGTTTTTGTTTAGGCATGCACGATGGTCGTGCCAGGGTTAGAAGGCGACGTGGTGAAAGGAGGAATCCACAGTTTTTTGTTGAAAGACATGTTCATCACACTGTTGGAGTTATGGTTTGGGGTGCTATAGCTTATGGTTCCAGGTCACCTTTAATCTTCATCAGAGGTAACATGAACGCGCAGCGTTATATCTACGAAGTTCTAGAACCCCATCTTTTACCCTATCTTGACACCCTGGCAGATCCAACTTTCCAACAAGATAATACCCGACCACATGTTGCAAGAGTCACAATAGACTTCTTTCAACATAATGATGTCACATTGTTACCATGGCCACCAAGATCTCCCGACTTATCCCCAATTGAGCACGTGTGGGATATGATGGGTAGGAGATTGCTCAATTTGCAACGTCCTCCTCAGACTCTAGAAGCACTTCGAGAGGAGTTGGTGGTTGCCTGGTATGAGATACCACAGGTGGACATTGACCACCTGATCAGAAGCATGCCTAGGCGCGTTGGAGAATGCGTAGCACATCAGGGTGCATCCACACATTATTAAAGGTCAAATACCAGAAATCCATCGGATTGAGGTCAGGAGCAATCCAGCGATTTGGATAATGTTCATTCAAATACTGTGAGGCGCCTCTAAAAATTTGTGGTGGTGCCCCATCATGAACAAATCACAAATTCTGTCTCCGTTGTAATGGCATGTTGTCTAAGGTCTGTTCCAAAAGTTCTGGTAGGTTATTGGCTAGAAGGCTAAGGTATCTTTCTCCTGACAACTTTGGGGGTAACTCGAAAGGGCCAACTGCCTGATCGTCAAGAATACCCGCCCAAATATTTATTTTAAAACGTTGTTGCAAATGACCTTCACGAATGGTATGAGGATTTTCTTGGACCCACGTGTGAGTATTATGGAAATTTAATATCCCGTCTCGCGTAAAAGTACATTCGTCCGTCGCTAGAATGTTTTTAAAAAAATCCGGATTTTCAATGTTTTTGTGCAAAAACCACTGACAGAATGTTAGTCTGCGAGGATAGTCTTCTGGTAACAAGGCCTGCGCTCGTTGTACATGGTATGGATAAAGCAAAGTTTCCCGTAGGATTCTATATACAGTGTGAGTCTTCATAAAGTGCACATATCAAAATCAGGGAAACTACACTCTATTTCATCGACGGATAAATCATCAAAAAAACATGAATTTGATTTTTTATGAATATATGAATATTTTAAAATTTTTAGTAGCAGCATTGAAATAACTCGTTACAACATTTAAACTAAATGTCCTATCATATTGGAATACATTTTGTAGTAATTGCTGGTAAAAGGATGTGCCTGAAAAGTGAAGAATTCCAGGAAAAGTAATGACATCCATTTAGAATAAAGAAAATTTTGATGAAAATCTGTTTTTTTTTCATCATTTTTACACTAATTTCAAATTTTCTATAAATATCGTCCCTTGTACCCTACCTTTTTTTATTTGTAAGTTATTCTACAAGTTATCAGCTTTATAAAAGTAAAAATTGCACGTTTATTACTCAAATGTAACAATTTCTATGAGTGTTTATAAAAAAGCCCATGCGCATCGTCTTTCTAGGCACCATTGCTTATCATGTAGATGTAGATTTTTTGGTGATTCAATGTAGAGTCGCGCGGGCTGAAGTACGAGTGGGGAGGCGGGCCCAGTTGAAAAACAATTGAATGTTGGGCAGTTAGGCAGCTATTTGTGTTTCTCCTGCCAACTGTATCACTTTCGTTTGCTACATATCACGCTTTCGCTTTTTGGTCGCGATGCCACGTATAAGTGATTTTCCTCCGGCACACATTGCCGATATCCATTATTATTATGGAATGTACCGAGGGAGTGCTAGAGCTGCTTGCACAGCTTATCTAGCTGCATTTCCAAATCGACGCCCTGTTCCATCAGCCCGTAACTTCCAAGAAGTACACAGAAGACTGGCTAACACTTTACTTGGTTTGCCTCGAGATCGCCGCGAACCAGGTGTTATTAGTCATGTTGCTATCGAAGAAGCCATTTTGGATGATTTGTTTGCTGACCCGACTACTAGTACGAGACGTTTGGCGTTACGTCATGGCGTATCCCAGAAATCGGTTTGGCGCATCTTGAGGAAAGCAGGGTTGCATCCATACCATTATCAAAGGGTGCAGCACTTGCATGAAGATGTGGATTGGCGTCCAAGGTGCGTTATGTCTACATGGATTTTAATAAAAACAAGAGACAATCCTGAATTCCCGAAAACAATTCTGTGGACAGAAGAATATCAATTCACGAGAGACGGCATCGTGAACTGTCGTAATTTACATAAGTGGTGCCCAAAAGATGAAAACCCTAGGCTGAAAAGGGCTTCAACATTTCAAGTGAAATTTTCTGTAAATGTGTGGGCCGCACTGATTGACAAATTTTTGATTGGTCCAATAATACTCCCGAGGACATTAAACGGAGAGAGATTTCTGGAGCTTTTGCGGACTGAACTGCCCTTGCTGTTGGAAGAAGTGCCGCTGCAAACCCGTCGAAGAATGATGCTTCAAATGGATGGATGTCCTGCCCATTACTCGCTGATTGTCAGGTCTTTTCTTAATGAAAATTATCCAGGCCGCTGGATCGGTCGACAAGGACTTGTTGGGTGGCCGGCGCGTTCCCCAGATCTCACACCTCTCGATTATTTTTTATGGGGGACAATGAAACAAAGGGTGTACAGCAGTTCCATAAACAGCGAAGCGGAACTTGAAGAAAGAGTTTTGCGTGTTGCAAACGAAATCAAAAATGATTCCGAGATGATTCGTAGGGCAACTCCTCAAATTTCACTTCGCGCTACAATGTGTTTGCAGCAACGGGGTGGCCATTTTGAACATTTGATGCATTAAGCCAAAATGATTATCCTATAGACAAGTCTATTTGATTTTATTTGTTAGAGATAATGAATGATTCATGTAGGTTAATACTGTTGTTTTATTCCTACTCTGGCGTTGAACTGAGTTCACTGCTTTTTGAAACGCTGATTTAAAAACTTGTATCTAAGTAATAAGCTTGCAATTTTTCACCATTAGGAAGCTAATAACATGTAGAATAACTTAACATTTAAAAAAGGTAGGGTAAATAGGGCAATTTTTATTGAAATTTAGCAATTGTTTTAAAAATCATTGAAAAAATAGTGAGTTTCAGCATATTCCTCTTTATTTTAAATTTATAGCATTTAATTTCGTGGAAATTTTCACTTTACTGGTACGGCCTATTATTTGCAATCATTACAAAATTTATTCCAATATGATAGGACATTCAGTTTAAAAGTTGTAACGATTTATTTAAATAGGGTTAGCAGCTGACTCTAAAAATTTTAAAATATTCATAAAAAATCAATTATTGTTTTTAATTTTTTTTTTTGATAATTTTCCCGCCATTAAATTAAGGTGCAGTTTCCTTGATTTTGCTATGTGCACTTTATGAAGACTCACACTGTATAATATAATTCCCGAGTGCTGATATCTATATTGATTTCCACGATATTTAAGGTTTGTTCCTCCTGCTCTACAGTAACCTGAATATTAGTGGGCTGAACACTTCCTGTATCTCGAAGTCTTTGGTACACTTGCACAAATGTCCTTCTGTCTGGGTGTACCCGTTGGCGAAATCTGTCGCGATAAATTTGAGCTGCAAGATTTGAATTCTGACGAGCTTTTTGACTAGTTTTGAACCTCCCTATTACCCATTTCAATAATGACTACCATAACGTTTACACCCTGTATTAGTATAGTAGGAATTGTGGTGCCTCGCTGTGAATGATTCGGCTCGGCAATGCACACGATTATTACATTTCTAATTGCTATCATTTACTTTTATTTGTCATTGATACTCCTTTGTGGCAACAGTCTTTGAAAATTTATATTTGCATAATTGAATTTGACAAATAAATTATTATTATTATTATTATTATTATTATTTCGATTATTCAGGTCACTCCAGCCTTAAAAGATCTCCTCGAGAATTGCCTGTCTTGGGAATTTGACATATTCCGATTGGAAGATCTGACGAGAAAGAGGCCTCTTCAGCACCTGGGAATGGCGATTTTCACTCACTTCGACGTGGCGAACACATTGAATTGCGATGAAAAGACGATATTCAACTGGTTGACCGTCATCGAAGCCAACTATCATGCTGAGAACGCTTACCATAACTCTACGCATGCTGCAGATGTCATGCAGGTAACAATTTTAATTTCTAGATCAGAATGTGTGTATTTTTGACAGTTGGCAATTTCGAGTGTTTGACTGATGTAGCAGATCGCCCTTGCGCGTCGTGACGTCACATGACATAAGTTCGGTACTGACGCAGCCCTTGCATATCGCAACCATCCTTAGCTATCAAGCTAACGAGTTGCAATATATTGTTTGTATCTTGACAAAGACTTCTGTGAGACATTAGAGATATACAATAAATAAAATCGAGGATAGCCGTACCTCATGGGTATTTAGGCCTTAGACCTTCGTGGTAGCTTTTTTGTTGTTGTTTTGAAGATTTATTTAGCATTAATGCTACAATGTGAATTTTGTATATAATGATTTGGTTACATATTTTTCTTCAATCCATTTTCTGTAATTTTACATTCTTGTCTATCAAAATTAAAATTACGTCACTATGTATTTTGATTATTCATAAAGTGATTTTTTAATACTTACATTACTATAATAATACTCCCTTTTGAAATATAGATTTACTAGTTATGCTACTATTACAATTTTGCAGATGAAAATCTATACTACCTCTAGTTTCGTAGTTATGATAATGACTACTTAATTTTGTGAAGTTCTATAAATGTGGTGGTAATACATTTTTTAATTTGAATATGAAAACGAGAACTAAATAATATATGAAATTTTTCACATCCAACCACTGCAGTTCTTCTAACACAGACTTAATCCTACCATATGTGCTTTTATTTAAAATGATTGTCATAGCTTTATTTTGTAGAATTTTGTAATTTTGAAAATATGTTTTCATTTGCTGTAAACAAGATGGTTGAGCAATATAAAAAGTGCGGAAGAATTATAGTGTTATACACAATTTTTTTTGAATACATACTGAGAATATGGGAAAGTCTATAGAAGTAATTTATCTTTTTCGAAATTTTTGAAATAATGTATTCATAATGTCCGTGAAACAGTAGCTTACTATCCATATATACGAGGCTTGTCCGTAAAATAAGTTCCACGGGCTGCCGCTGGCGCTAGGATCGTTTCTATGCACAGCCAGGCAACAAAGGCAGATTGTTTGGTTCCCCCACTCCAATCCCTCACCAAGCCAGCGTCGCTGCGACGTTTAGTCTTGGCTCAGCAGCCGTCAGCGATGGAGTTTCCTCTTGCGTCTCCCGCCAGCTGCGAGTTGCGGTCTGTTATTCGTTTCCTGGCCGCTAAGAAGAAATCGGCGAAGGAAATTCACGAAGAACTTTGTCAAGTGTATGGAGAAGACTGTATGAGCTGCGGGATGGTGCGCAGATGGGTCAGGGACTTTAAAAATGGCCGAACAGACGTCCACGACGAAGCCCGTGCAGGGCGGCCATCGTTTTCCGACGAAACAATTGCCAAAGTCGAAGCGGCAATGCTTGAAGATCGACGGATTACAGTTCGGGAGCTGTGCACAAAGATTCCGGAGGTCAGCAAAACCACAATTGACAAGATTTTGACTGAACATTTAGGCTATTCAAAGGTCTGCGCAAGATGGGTACCAAGAATGCTCACTGCAGACCACCGGCGGCAGCGGGTTGAAGCGGCCCTAGAATTTCTCGCTTTTCACGGAACAACCGAAGAGGAATTTCTGGACTCTATTGTTACTGGTGACGAGACCTGGGTACACTACACCACACCGGAAACAAAGGAGCAATCGAAGCAGTGGAAGCACTCTTCTTCACCAAGAGCAAAGAAGTTCAAACAAATCCTGTCTGCCGGGAAAATCATGGCTAGCGTTTTTTGGGATCGAAAGGGCGTATTGTTGTGCGAGTTTATGCCTCGCGGGACAACAATCAATGCTGACCGGTACTGTGAGACCTTGAAAAAACTTAGACGTGCCATTCAGAACAAGAGAAGAGGAATGCTGACGAAAGGAGTGCGTTTTCACCATGACAATGCCCGACCGCACACCGCCAATCGAACCACAGCGCTCATCGAAAGATTTGGATGGAAAATGATGTCTCACCCACCCTACAGCCCAGACTTAGCACCAAGTGACTTCCATCTCTTCCCTGAGTTGAAGAAAAACCTTGGCGGAACCCAATTCCAGACAGATGAAGAGGTGCAAAACGCGGTTGTTAGTTTTCTACACGGATAGGCGGCAGAGTTCTATGACTCTGGTTTGAAGAAGTGGGTGCCTCGAATGCAGAGATGCATAGAACGCAACGGCGATTATGTAGAAAAATAAAAGAAAGACTGAACTTTCCAAAAATGTATTTTCTTTGCAATTAAACCAATTTTTTGATATGAAAAAAATTTGTGGAACTTATTTTACGGACACGCCTCGTATATATATACAGGGTGTCCGCAAAGTTGGGGTTTTCCTTTTCAGAAACAACTACCCTTGCAATAACAAAGGTAATGTGTAGTGAAACGAGGGCGACCAAGTAAAAAAAAATAAAGGAAAAAGTACTCACTCTCCAGTTGACGAGAAGGGCTAAGTACGTCTCTGCCCGAAATCATACCACTCCAACAGAAAATGAAATCTGCTGATGCGCTACCGAGCAGACGCAGAAACCACATTGATTGTTTTACACTTAATGGCACATCTTCTAACAAGGAAGGCAAAATGTTGCGTAAAAAGTCTAGGTATTGCATCCCGTCCAATCGATTTGGGAGAATAAATGGTCCAATGAGCATACCGTTCACCATGCCAGCCCAAACATTCACCGAAAATGTTTGTTGAAAATGTGCCCGACGGACAGCGTGCGGATTTTCTACTGACCAAACATGAGTGCTGCGAAAGTTATTCACCCCATTACGCGTGAACGTAGATTCGTCTGTCACCAATATGCACTTCAAAAAGTCCGGATTATTGTCATGTTGATGCAACAACCACTCACAAAACCGGACTCTTGCTGGAAAATAGTCAGGTTGAAGGGGTTATACACGTTGGACGTGAAACGGATACAGCCCCTCTTCACGCAGCGTTTGCCACACTTTAGTTTTTGATACTTGCACTTCTCTAGCCACGTCTCTAGTGCTTGTTGAGGGATTCTCGTCTACGCGATTACCTCTACACGCGTGTCCGTAACCGTCGGTTGAAGGTTGCATACTGACCTGACACACTAACCCCGACCCAGTTCTGTCGTCGGGTTGAGACAGTGACCTTGTACCAGTCGGTGATGTCGCGGCTACAGGACGGTATTCAGATATTTTTGATGTTGCAGAGCCCTTTATCTCGGTTCCCTTAAGACATTGGTGTATATGGTACTAAGAAAAATTGCTTATGTTTTCAAGATCTACACGTCGTGTAAAGGAAAACCCCAACTTTTGCGGACACCCTGTATATACCAAGATATTTAAATGACTCGACTACTTCAATTTTTTCATCATTAACCATGAGCCTAATTGTATTGACACCTAAATGTTTCCCTATTAACATACATTTTGTTTTATTAGTGTTTAATTTAAGTTTATTGGCATTCAACCAGTTCATAATTCTTTCAATATCACTATTTAACACTTCTAAACCAGTGTCCAAATGCTTATATGCTATATATATATATATATATATATATATATATATACTAAGTGACATATAAATCCGAACACCCAGTTTAAATGGTTTTATTTTAATAAAATTTTGTATAAGTACTTAATGAAGCATAATATGTAAATGATAAAAATTTCAAAATGATTGCACTGCTTTAAAGCCCTTTGACCTTTAATAATGTGTGGATGCACCCTGATGTGCTACGCATTCTCCAACGCGCCTAGGCATGCTTCTGATCAGGTTGTCAATGTCCTCCTGTGGTATCTCATTCCAGGCAACCACCAACTCCTCTCGAAGTGCTTCTAGAGTCTGAGGAGGACGTTGCAAATTGAGCAATCTCCTACCCATCATATCCCACACGTGCTCAATTGGGGATAAGTCGGGAGATCTTGGTGGCCATGGTAACAATGTGACATCATTATGTTGAAAGAAGTCTATTGTGACTCTTACAACATATGGTCGGGCATTATCTTGTTGGAAAATTGGATCTGCCAGGGTGTCGAGATAGGGTAAAAGATGGGGTTCTAGAACTTCGTGGATATAACGCTGCGCGTTCATGTTACCGCTGATGAAGATTAAAGGTGACCTGGAACCATAAGCTATAGCACCCCAAACCATAACTCCAACAGTGTGAGGAACATGTCTTTCAACAAAAAAGCACGACCATCGTGCATGCCTAAACAAAATCGAGACTCGTCACTAAAGGCAATACTGTTCCATTCCTGATCCCAGAGTGACTGTTGTCTGCACCACTCAAGGCGATTACGTCGGTGTTCTCGAGTTAAAGGGAGGATCCAGTGTGGCCGTTATGAAAACAAGCCAAAACTTCTCATTCGTCGGTAAACACTTCGCATGCCAATAGGTCTTCCGTGTTCTGCAAACCATTCATTTGCAATGGACCTGGTAGTGGAGAAACGGTCCCTTAAGGCCAATAATTTTAGGCGGCGATCTTCACGGTCTGTTGTTCTACGGCGGCGTCCAGTGCCCCTTGCTCTTTGCGTACGGCCTTCTCGAAGCCATGCCTGACAACACCTAACCACAGTGTCTACACTTCTTTGTACTCTAACTGCAATTGCCCGAAAAGAAAGTCCAGCTTCCCGAAGTCCCACTATACGGCCCCTATCAAACTCACTAAGTTGACGAAATCGTACAGGTCTCCGTACTCTACAGTATATTCAGATAAGAGATAGACCGAATGTAAACAAAAGGTTCGGGTGATTTTCACGCTAACGCCGCCGTCTCGACGTAAAACAGGAGCCCTCATTGGTCAATTCGCAATTAAATGCCTATGCCGAGCGGCAGAGCAGTCGTATCAAGGCAGAGTCACATTCAGGTTCAGACGTGTTACGTATGTCGTGTGCATCATTGCAATTTGATATTTCTTTGGACGTTTTCGTTTGTTATCTTATTAAGTTGTTGAGTTTGTCGTTGTTATTGTTATACCTTGTTATTGATTGTTATTGTTATCAACTGCTTGCGCAAAATGCCCAGTAGTACAGATACTGCCGATGAAGTTGTAAACTCCTGTAGTCCACCTAGGAAACGCTCTAAAAATAGACACCTGAGTGCAGAAATGAAAGAGGTCATTTTGAATATATATAAGATCGAGCGCGAGGAGAACGAGGCATCAACCATCAAAGAAATTGTTGTGAAGGTTTCTCACAAAGTTGGGGTGTGTCGCGCATCAGTGTTTAATGTGTTAAGACAATACAAAAAAAATCACACCTTTTCTGAGCCAATGACCAGTAAACATCGCAAAAGTATTGTTAAATCATTGGATGAAGCTGATAAGCATGCGATTAGGAGGAAAGTGCATGAATTCTTCTTTAGGAATGAAATACCTACTATAGATAAAGTACTGCAGGAGGTAAATGGAGATACAACGTTGCCAAATTTCAAACGATCAACTTTCCATGCGTTACTGAAGCATTTAAATTTCAAATGGAAAAAACGGGGTCGTAATAGTTTACTACTGGATAGAGAAGAAATTGTGCTATGGAGGAGGGATTATTTAACAAAAATTGGGAAATATAGAAATCAAAACAGGAAGATTTATTACCTTGATGAAACGTGGGTAAACGCAGGACACACTACAAGTAAAGTATGGGTTGATGATTCTGTAACTTCATCCAGGAGGGCCTTTCTAGATGGCCTGTCCACCGAATTAAAAAATCCAGCAGGTAAATACGAGTAATAGACAACAATCGGATGTTTTTCAAACCTTGGGAACAAGGTTCTAAACATTAATTCCAGGGGGCAGATAAAACATATTACAAGTAACAAAACTTTTATAACTTTCGATAAAATGCGTGGATGTTTTATTGTCATTTTCATTTGTTAGAACTTTTTTAAGCCATGTTTTTATGTGTTTTCGATATTTCAATAATTTTTTAATATAATCTCAAAATATGTCGAATATTATAAACTTAAAAAAAGTTTTATATTGTTTACCGTTCCTAATATTTCCAATCATTTTAATTCATACTTTAAGCTTTATAAAGTTATAATTTGTTAATATTAATATTTGCGCGTATTTCCGGGTCCTGATCATTCATTTTTTAAAGGTTTATAACTTTAAATTAAATTGTGAAGCGCTGAGTAATCATACGACGTTCAATATTCTTTCTTTCAATATGACTAAATAATCCCAATTATAGCAATCTGATACTCATGTCTCAATGTTTTTTCGCCGAATGTGATGAAAACATTTGAAAAAGGTTCGCTTATTGAAATAAATCTACACCAGTTAGTACTTCGATTTCCAGGTAAAGGGAAAAGGCTCATTATCTGCCATATTGGCAGTGAGGATGGATTTGTTGTTGACGGTCTGTGGTGCTTTGAGTCTAAGAAAACTGGAGATTACCACGAGGAAATGAATGGCGAATCGTTTGAACAGTGGTTTTCAAAAATTTTACCGTACTTAGAGGAAAACGCAGTAATTGTGTTGGATAATGCGCCTTATCATTCTCGAAGAATGGAGAAGGTCCCAATAACGGCTTCAAGGAAAGTTGATGTTCAAAATTGGCTCCGCTCGAAAAAGATCAACTTTGAAGAAACAATGCTGAAAGTACAATTATTAAGAATTGTCAAGGATCACAAGGCGGAATATCAAAAATACGCCATTGACGAAATGGCAGCAAGTCAAAATAAAACTGTGCTCCGTTTACCTCCATGCCATTGCGAGCTCAATCCCATTGAGCTCATATGGGCAGAGGTTAAAAATTATATAGCCAAGCACAATACAACTTTTAAATTTTGTGACCTGAAAGGACCTTTCAAAGAAGCACTAGAATTAATAACAGCGCAAAAATGGGAAAACTGTATTAAGCACGTGAAAGACAAAGTTGAAAAGAGAATGTGGGAGCTGGACAATATTTTAGAGGAACAAGTCGAGCCATTCATTATTGACGTTGGTGCTTCAGGCAGTAGCGATGATGAAAGCTCATCAAGCTCATCTTTCCAATAAAAGATGTCGTTCATCAAATTCGGTAAGTTATAAGTAATTATAAAGCTACTGTATTTTTTAATTAATTATTGACATTTTTGAACCCATTTTGGCAAAACCTATTCAAGAATCTACTTTCTGACAATGTTCAACCATGCACATTTTTTTACGTTTTGAACGTTTTAATTTGGTTACATATTTACCTAGAAATCAAAAAATATACTAATCAATATTCTAAAAGCAATTTTAAGAGATATACGATTATTTTTAATTTAGGCTAATTTAAACGCCATTTTGAGATTATATTCGACTGTACTTCACCAAACATCTGGCGGCATCCGAAGCTGGAAATCGAAGCTAAAATTTTGAAACCCTTATGTATATTTACATCATTATATATTTCTTACCCCACCCCCACATGCTCCTATATCCATCACCAATCGTATACACATCGAATTGTGCTAATTTACTACAAAGTTACGCAAAGCAGCATCTACTATCTAAAATATGTACTGCGTGACTCTTAATACGGCCCTGCCGAATGTTACAGCGTTCGATGATCACGTGGTCTTGTTTATGTCCGGTCTATCTCTTATCTGAATATACTGTAGGCATCGTAACCGATCGTAAAGGATGTCAAGAACCAAAATCCGCCAACGTTGATTCTTTACTGCGGCTGAAATATTCATTTTTAGAGCGTTAGTGAATTAAAAAGTAAGATAAATACATTCACCAACTTTCATTAAAATAAAACCATTTAAACTGGGTGTTCGGATTTATATGTCACTTAGTATATATATATATATATATAAAGTGTTTCGTCCGCAAATATTTGAATTTTGCAGTGTTCTAAAATATCAGAGATAGCATTTATATAAATAATAAATAGTAACGGCCCTAATTTAGTCCCCAATGGCACCCCTACTGATATTTTGAACACTTGACATTATATTTCCAACTTTAGTTTTTTGACTTCTATTTACTGACTTACTGAATAATTTTGTAAAATGTGTAATACTGATCCTTTAAAGCCATAGTGACGCAATTTCATTGACAATTTTTCCCTATCTATAGTCTCAAATGCCCTTTTGAAGTCTAAAAATATTGTTACAATATATTCTTTCTGACCTATACTTCTTCTCCAGTCTTCCACCATCATTTGCATTGCCGTTTCTGTGGAACATTTTTTCTTAATCCAGCTTGATTTTTTATCAAAATTTTGGTTTCTTCAATGAATTCTATGATTTGTTCGTATATTATCCTTTCCAATAACTTCTCTACATCGGGCAAGACATTGGGTGGAATGCATAAAACGTAGTAGATGCTAATGCTTCAAGTATGTACTACATTTTTGAAGTTTTAACTACACTAACAAAGCATTTACTTTCTTCCATAGCATATGCTATGTACGAGATACATAGAAAAATATACTACGCTTTAGAAGTATTTGGTGGTTTAGTAGTATTTGCTCCAGTTTAAGTGAAGTTAGTGTATGAGCAACTTCGGCTACCGCAAATTCAGTATTTTTTTTTTGGAAAATGGCAGCATTCATGAATGTGCTTCGTAAAAAAGTTTACACATATTTATCCTAAATTATTTTACGTCATTGTTTAGTCAATGACGTTTTCGACCACAGTTGGCCGAATAATGATGTGATTTTGGCGTCATCATGTTCACTGGAGGCTTACTCAATCAGTTAACTTATTTCGTATGAAATTGACACGTAACCGCCAGAATCGATGACAAGAGCTACATACCCACTGACAGTTACAATCCTTTTTTTCTTAGGCAGCTGCTAATTACCTCGAGAAAGAGCGGATGAAATCCCTGATGGACCCCCTAGACGAAGCTACTAGCCTGATAGCAGCTTGTGCACATGATGTTGATCATCCTGGCAAATCTAGCGCGTTCCTGTCAAACTCTGACAATCCGTTGGCTATTTTGTATAACGACGTCACAGTGCTGGAGTCTCACCACGCAGCTCTGACGTTCAAACTGACCTTAGGTAATTATAAGCAAGCTTTGAATAGAAAGTGATCGTGAATTGGGAATGCGAAATTTTATTTTACAGCTTTGGAAATGGATTAGGCGGTGCTTCTAGAGCGGCACAGATTTGCGCTCAAATTGGACACAACAATTTGCTTTTTAACCGCAGCGGTTTAACCCACTTGCTTTATTAAAGCTACATTTAATTTATACAGGGTTTGTCCGGAAAGTAATAGGACTCTTTTTCTTCCGCCATGATTGTACTTCGGAGCGTGCGCGTACCGACTGGATTCGGTAGAGGGCGTTCCTAGCTAACGAATGAGCGGTTGGTCAGTTGTCTCCGAGCACTTGGAGAGCCAGGACAGGCATTGTCGCGCGACGTGCTTCTGTGAGAAAATGCAGCCTTCGTTAGAGCAGAGGTACGCGATTAAATTCTGTGTGAAACTCGGTAAATCTGCGACAGAAACGTTTGATATGATCAGGCAGGCTTACTCAGCAAGAAGTGGTGTGTATCGTTGGGACCAGGCCTTTTTGGAGGGCCGGGAAGAGATCGCTGATGACCAGAAATTGCGGCGAGTGGAAGTGTGCCAAGAAAATTTGAACATGTGTGAAAGTGACCCCCAATTTTTGAATAACGTAATCACAGGTGACGAGTATGATCCCGAGACAAAGAGGCAATTTTCCGAGTGGCACACGACGGCGTCTCCTCGCCCAAAAAAGGGAAGAATGAGCAAATCCAAAGTGAAAACGATGCTCATTGTCTTTTTTGACATCAAAGGCATCGTCCACCATGAATTTGTTCCTCCTGGACAAACCGTCAACGCCAAGGTTTACGTGGAAGTGCTCAGGAGACTCAAACAAAGGGTCAGTCGGGTCCGACAAGACATCGCAGCCGACTGGAAGTTGCACCACGACAACGCCCCGGCTCACACCGCCTTTATTGTGAACAGCTACCTGACCAAGGCCGGCATCCCACCGCTTCCGCAGCCGCCCTACAGCCCAGATGTGGCCCCTCGGACTTTTTTTGTTTCCTCGCCTGAAAAGGCCAATGAAAGGCAAGCATTTTGATACGATAGAGGGGATCCAAGCAGCATGTACCGCGGCTCTCAAGGCTATTCCGGAGAATGCCTTCCGTGACGCCTTCAATGTTTGGAAATCGCGCTGGCAGTGCTGCATCGACGCAGAAAGAGCATATTTTGAAAGTTTTTAAAGAATTGTAACGATTGGCTCAATATTTTTTTTTAAATCGACTCAGTCCTATTACTTTCCGGACATACCCTGTATTTCCTATTTTCGACGTAGTCTCTGTTAGCCTTCAACTTAGACCAGGCGCTGGATAAAATTGTTGTTTAGTTGTTGAAGATTCATTTTGTATGATTGTTATTTTACACAATTTTTTAATCGTTTTTCTGTAGTTTTACATTCTTGTCTATGAAAAATACATCGCTATGCATTTTTTAATTAACTTCAATATTTTGATCACGATTACGATCACGATTTACTGTGATTCATCAGTATTTATCATGAACTGTGATATTTATTGACCTGGACGCCAGTAATTGATTTTATTTGTTTTTTATGGTTTATTTAGCATGATTGCTACAATTAAATTCTTTTAAAAAAATACAACAATCACATAACATACGAGCCCCTTCCCACTTCAGTTGGCCCACTTCAAGATTTGTACCAGAATATGCCTTTATAAACTAAACATGACGAAACTATTTACTTCCAAAACAATTTATTTTCTCAAAAACATTTTAGATACACTCTAGTCGTAAAAAATACATATTTGAAATCACTTAGACCTATAACTAATAGAACTTCTGAACAAATAAACAATGTGCGAATAAATGCGCGAAGTTAACAAAGCAACAATTGAAAGATTACCATTGGGTAACATCACCTTTATTTTTTATTACGGCTGAAATTCTTTGGGGCATAGTGTTAACCAAGTTTTGGCAAAAATTTGGTGTAAAACAATCCGATATTTCTTGAAGCTTTTGTCTCAATTCGGTGATAGTACGAGCAGGATGTTGTCGTAGAACCTTTTTCATCTCGTTCCACAAAGTTTCAATAGGTGACAGATCTGGACTGCTAGAAACCCATTTCAAAAGTGGTACATTATTTTCTTCCATCCATTTTATAGCCTTTTTTGAGGTATGGCACGTTGCACCATCTTGCTGAAACATAAAATCTTGGCCGGATGTGAAACATTCTTCCATCACTGGTAAAAGCGATTCTTCTAAAATTGACAAATATTTGTTTGTATCCTCATTTCCCCATCAATAAAATGAAGTTTTCCTACTCCTTTTGATGACATACTGCCCCAGACCATAATGGATGCTGGAAACTTCACTTTTCTCTTCAGACAGTCAACATGGAATGCTTCATTTTTTTGCGAATAACTCTACTGCGACTGTCACCAACACAAACTTCGAATCGGGCCTCATCGCTCCATTGTATTGCACACCATTGTTGAGGTGTCCATCTATGTTCTTTAGCCCATCTAAGCCGATTTTTCTTTTGCAGTGCAGTTAATAGTGGCTTTTCTTTGGCCTATTAACAAGTTGTGCAACTTTAGGGTTTTTACTCCACTTTTTTTTATAAGAAAACTTATCTTGCAAGTGCTAAATCCCAGTTTGTGTGCCTCTCTATGAGTTGTGGACCTCGAAATTCTCCTTCCAACAGCGTCACTCCACAGAGCACTCAATTGTAAATAATTGGCACGCCTGTTTTTCACGATTATTCTTCTTAACGCTCTTCGGTCGGTATTTGTGATATTACTTGTTTTCACATATCGTGGCTTAATATTAACTGAACCAGTTACGTTATATCTTCTAACAATATTTCTCGCACTGTACCGCGATAAGTCTAACAAAGTTGGAATTTCTGAGTTTGATTTCCCAGACTTAAGAAATTTAATTATCAGTAACCGAATTTTCTCACTAATAACCTTTCCTCTACCCATTTTGAAAACCTTAACTACCCAAAACTATTTTAAACGTATTCTGACAGCTGTGATTAATGAAAAAAATTGTCATTGCATTTATTCTTCACAGCCACCTATGCGTGACTTATTTTGCATTGAAATGAAAATAGGTTGATATGCTGTAATTGCAACATGTGTTATTTTAATGCTGCAAATTTGATTAGGAAGTGATAAAATTGGTGTTTTCTACTATATATTATCAAAATATTCATTGTTACTATTTTAAACCTATAACACCCTGCTACATTTTTATTATTTGTGTTTGATAAGAAAAAACTAAGATTTCAATAGTTGGGCCAACTGAGGTGGGAAGGGGCTCGTACAAACAAAATTTTCATCTCTCTGAATGTTCACTATCGATTATGTATCAGGTTACCTAGAAAACCACAGACATAGACGTAACCATCAGTAAATACTGATCGTGTATCTTTATGTACATGTTATTGTCCTCAGGTGATGAAAGGGTGAATATATTCAAGAATCTGGATCGAGAGAGCTACAAAGTAGCCAGGACAAACGTTATAGATATGATTCTAGCAACCGAAATGACAAAACACTTCGAACACTTAGCCAAATTCGTTAATGTTTTCTGTACGAAGTCCTCAGGGTCAGAGACCGAGGTAAGAATCAAGTGAAAGTAGTCAACGTAATGTGTATACAGGGTGTCCTGAAAGTTGCGACTTTCCTTTTTCAGGGTCAAGTACGTTTACAATACCAAAGCTAAACACCACCGAAAACCTAAAAAAAAAAGTTGATGAAATTTACTCAATATTTAGAATTTCAAGTACTCCCTTCTTGTCGCTGTTCAATCCGAAAGCACGAGTTTGATTAGCTCTTCCGAAATTTGCTAGGTTTGGGGCTGCGAACTCTTTTGCAAGATATAAATAAACGTGTGCAGCTCTGATGAAAATAAACATCGTGGACAAAGGAGTATCAATAGGATCTTGAAGATGCTCATACGTGAATGCACTATGAAGGTGCCAAAACTAGGTTAACCTGATACCGACTCACATAAACCAAATTCAAGCGGATAACCAAATGGAAATGGTATTTACCATTTTGGGTTGGTATTTACCAATCCGTTCAAGTGAGTGTAGTTATCAGTTTGGTTATAAGATCCGTGACGTCACGAATCAGCTGTTATATGTCATAGTTATCACCGCAAAATTGTGGTATTTACCGAACTCAAGAGTAGTTTTATATTTCTGGTTATTATTTGAAATGTGACAAGTTAGAATTTTGCCGGATATTGGATATTGTTATTGTACTTCAGCTTCATTTTTGAGAAAAATGATACAGGCTGCTTCAGTTTTACCATAAAGTGTAGCACCTTATTAGTTATACTCATTACGGTTGTTGGGGACACTTTAAATGTAGTTCCTATGCTTAACAAAGTATCCTGTGTAGCCATATACCACAAGAATATTAAAATATGGCCATATAAACTCACTAGATGATATCCACCTGTATACGGTTTTGCTAATTTCCTTTTTCAAAATTTCTGCTGAATCAATAAATGTTTTCTTTTACATGTGGAAAAATTTAGAGAATTGAAAGTTATCATAGCTACAAAGCCATGGTTCCATCATTAAAAAAAAATCTGAAAAAAACATTTCTCCCATGAATATTATGAAAGGTTTCTTATTTAAACTTTCCATATACAGTTGTAGACGAAAAAGCACCAATTATTAAGTGATAAGAAAAATAATCAGAGATTATATACGCGCTTTTCTAAAATAAACAACTTGCAACAAAACCGCGGTTAAAACCAACCCGTTCAAGCGATTCGTGTAACTGACGTCATCAAGCCGTGTGTCATATTGAACCATGTTATAACCGCGGCACATAACACAGAAATTTTGGTTATTCGCTTGGATTTGATTATAGTCCAAGTAAAACATCATACGTTTTGACGTACGAGGGGATTGTGAGAGGGGAGCGTGACAGGTGGTACCTAATATCAAGTTTTTCTATATATCGTACAAGAAAGCATGTTTATTATTGCCCGACCTATACGTTCTGTAAGACAAAGTCCCAACTTTGAGAACACCCTGTATACTACTTTTCGCGATACTTCAGCATGTCAAAACGTGAAAAAGCAACTGCTGACCATTTTCTGAATATTCTATATCGTCAAATGGCAACAACCTCTAACTTCCTAAAGACGACGGTGCTTTTGTGTGATTGGTTTTGCATAAAGTAATTAGAAAGTTTCGGTATACACTTAGAGTGGTGCGATCGATATAGTTGTTAATTTTCATAACTACATTTCAAGTAAAACTAGGAATTGAGAAAATTCCAACCAATATTTAATGAAGTGAATTTCAACATAGTCATCAGTGCCAACAGAATAAAATTAACACAAGAGGCAATTAAATGCACGTCAGAATGTGCTTCAAGTATCGTGGTAGCCTTTAAGCCATCCGGAATCTAGTTTAATATATATTTTTTTAAGGGTGAGTGTCCTGACTATGTGCCATTATCATTACCAGAAAATGTCACTCTGGTTAAAAGAATGATGATCAAATGTGCGGACGTTTCAAACCCCGCAAGGCCTTTAAGGATATGTGTTGAATGGGCAAGAAGGATTACTGAAGAATACTTCCATCAGACGGATGAGGAAAAAGCTAGAGGTAAGTCAAACCTTATTGTATTTCTGACTTAATCTTCTGACAAGTAACTGTTATTTTTCGTTTTGATGCCCGAATAATATATATATATATATATATATATATATATATATATATATATATATATATTATTGATATATATATATATATCAATAAACCCAATCTGTCCGTCCTTTTGGTTTTATATTTGTAACAAATGCTCTCATCCACGCTTTCGTTTTGAAACACCATTTGGCTGCAACCTCAGCGACGAGTAAGTTGTCTGATAATTTAAATCCTTCCCATATTAACTGCTAGCATCATATTTGTGTTTTCAGCTCCTGAAGATGGTTCCATAGAGAATGCCGAAAGCTCGAGATTACCGTTAAAAGACTTTACTAAAGCCTAAAAAAATTTTGCCAATTTCCCAATTAACAATTGACTGTATTTTTTGCTCAACTGGTCGTTGGCAATGGCAATGACTACTGCTCGCATATATATATATATATATATAAAGAGAAAATGATCATGCGGAGAAAGGTATATAACAAAAACGTACCTTTCTCCACATGATCGTTTTCTCTTTGTAGATCCTATGAGCTTGAAGTACCACAGCAAGTGACTATAACCGGCCGCGTGGTTGTGGTTAGATGTCGCCTTGAAAATTCTTCTGGTCATTTTATACTACAATGTGTAGGTTGGCTCTTGTTGTGGACTTCGTGTGTGATTTTTTCCCTCTCCATCTTCGTTTCCTCAGGTTACACCCGTATCCGAATATATGGGCATGTGATGGAGCCAACCAGCAGAAATACGTATCGCTCGGGTTACCTATCCTATTTTCTGCTCGAATCCACTTTGCTTCTTTTTGCGGATTTTGCCCATTATTCCTATTTTTATATAAATGTATAGGGTGATTTTGCGCGTACAAGGCTTCACTGCTTGTACGCGCAGACTCACCCTGCATTCCCCTGATTTTTTGCAAAGATATGCCATAAAGATGTACTACTATGAGGTCTCTACAACATATATGTGTCTGTTGGTAGCACAATTCTTCGTTGGGGTTCTGCGATGTAATTTAGTTTAATTTATCATAATTTTTTTATAATAAATTACACCGGTAGTACAAGTAGTCTAGTAGTAGTAGTCATGTGAGGAAATCATTTTTGGTAGTTTTCCTATTAAGCACACTAGTGCCTGTTCTCGTTTTCTCGTTCACTCCACCACTAGTAATATCTATATATAAATATTATTTGAAATAAAGCAACCCTCAGTAGCTGAAAATACCAGTTTTTTAGCATATCGGCGATTTGAGCTCGCTACTGAACTGGTCCACTGTAAGTTCATCATATTCTGAAATCTGAAGCTAACTTCAGGGACATTTAATCATCTTCCTCATAAGTTTATTTTGGAATCCTTGAAAAAATTCGATACTCAGATTCTTGCAACAGACCTACAGTAGAACATGGGTTCTACCGCTTGATTTTATATAAATAATAACAAAAATAATAATAATAATGCTTTTATTAGCTGCAGTGAGACGAAGTTATTATATATTATATATTACATATTACATATATTATATATTACACTCAATATATTACACTCACTATTATATATTACACTCAACCCCACAACAGGAGAAAAGAATACTTAAACACATAAACAAAATAATAACATACCAAAAAAAAATACAATTCATAAGAATGACAACATTGATTGCACGAGACAAATGCAGATAGTATTGCGAGAGTTTTAAATTTGAAACAAAAATAGTAGAAAATAGTCAAACAAAAAAAATCACATGAACACAAGAAAAACTGAACTAAATGGACTCCAGCAGCTGACTTTTCATTAATTTCTTAAAAGAAACAACCTGTTTGGATCGATAGCCACTGTTAACTGCATTGTAATGCTTGACAGCATTATAGGTGTAACTTCTTTCAAAGACCGAGGTATTTTGAGGAGGCATGTTAAAATTAGCATTAAATCTGAGCTGTGGTAACAAAACTACCTCGGTGAACTAATTTGCTAGCGAGGTAAGCTGGTCTGTTAGATAATAGAACTTTATGCGTGAAGACGGTCAAAAGATATAAAAATAACTTATCAATTCGCAACCAGTTGAGTTCTTTGATTTTATCTGAGACGCGACTAAGCTTGCGCAATCCAAAAATAAACCTACATCAGCTGTTTTGAATTTTCTGGAGTTTCCTTTTGTGGACGTAGTCTAAACATGGGTAATAAAGAACAAGATAGTAAGAAATGACAGACAACACAAGACTTTCAACGAGCTTTTTTCGGGTTTTAAAATTCAAGATGTATCGATTAGAATAGAGGAGTTTCAAATGCATATGCGTTACTCTAGATAAGAAAGAGACATGCCGATCGAATCTCATATTTAAGTCAAGGGTAACACCGAGATTCTTGGCGTAATCCACAAAAGGGATGAGTGTCTCATCCAAAAAAATACAAATCCTCTGCTTCATTTCACGGTAGGAGTTCTTCGAACAGTACAACATTGCAGTAGTTTTATTAGGATTGATCTTCAAGCAGTGTTTTTTACAGTTATCACCGTTGTTAGCCAAATCTAAATTAACTTTAAAAGAAACTTCATCAACCTTTGATGGATCGAAACCAAACACTAACTGAGTATCATCTTCATAAGTTTGCATACTACAGTGGACTAAACAGTCTTGCAGATCGATCGTATAAATCAGATATAGTAAGGGACCTAATACTGAGCCCTGAGGAACTCCTGAAGGAACTGGCTCAGAGGAGGAAATTCTCTGATCAGTTTTCACTGTTTGTTGACGATTTAGCAAGTATGACTCAAAGAACCTTAGAACTATATCTGACATTCCATAATGAGATAACTTACTCAGTAGTATCTGGTGATTGACCATATCAAAGGCTTTCGAGAAATCTAACAGTACCAAGACGGTGTTGATGTGATTATCTAAATTGTGAATGATGGAATCAGTAAGATGTAATAAAGACGAAGTAGTGCTGTAACCAGCTCTGAAACCTGACTGATGTAGAGGAAATAAGTGGTTTTGTTCGAAAAACTCCACTAGTTGTGAGTAGACAGCTCTTTCGAGTATTTTTGATAGAAAGCATAATAAGGTAATTGGCCTGAGATCCGAATATTGTTCTGGATGATTAGTTTTAGCTATTGGAATAATAATACCATTTTTCCAACTGGCAGGAAAGTAACCTGTTTCGAGACAGACATTAATAATAATGTGAGTTATATGGTCTATGGTATCAGGCAAATATAAGCATACCATATTTAAAGTTAGACCATCAGAGCCACATGTCTAATACTTTCCATGAAGTAAATATCTCTTGTTAAAATTCTCACTTGTTCAAACGGTGATGATACGTATAATATTCATGTAAGTTGTTTTTTTACAGGTCTACCTGTTGTAATGCCTATGTTTGATAGACATACCTGTTCAGTACCAAAATCACAAATCGGCTTTGTGGACTATATCATCAACGATATGTTCGAAGCTTGGAATGGTAAGTTGAAAAAATAAAATATCCTGCCCTACTTGTCCTAAAATAAAAATTTTGTAATGTTTTGTGCAATGTTGTTGTTTCCACAAGTTGTATGCCTTGTCATTAAAGGAATATATTGCTTTGTATTAAAAATGATTGATGTCTTCAAGGTGCCAGCATTTCAGAAAATATTTGGCAATGACACGATTTTCATTTATAAATATCAGCAGGGTCAAAGAACGTGTTTAGCTAAAATTATGCGAATGATGTACTAGGCCAGAGCAAATATTGCACATACGCTTTGTTTAAAGATAACGAAATATCCTGCAGTATAAGTATGATTATTTTATTATATGTATTAGATTTTTTGTTAAAAGACAACAGCTAATCTATGAAAGAAATCTACCTAGCCGTGAAAAAAGCAATTGAAACGCACAAGCATAATATGTCAAATAGTGGCATGTCTTCTAATCTTACTTTCAAAATGTTAGTTAATTTCCAATCTCAAAAGTGAATTGTGAGGAAAAATGAGAAACCTAAAATTGGAGTATCGCATAAAATTTCTGACAAAAGAGGGTCAGCAGCCGTATACAATTCTTGAGACAATGGTTTTCTTCTATGGGGGTCATATTATACAATAAAATCTCGGTCGAAACAGTTTAGATCGGGGTGTGAATCCATAGAAGCCGATCCCAAAAGTGGAAGACCCAAAACAGCAACAAATAATGAAATGACTCAAAAAGTTGTCAAAGATTGTCACGTGAAGTTAGCACTGAATATACATATTTTAATCCAGCGTAATAGTTACCTTACGCTACAATTTGGGTTCCACGACTGTTGATACCTGAACGAAAATTTCGCAAGTTGGAAATTTCAGAAAGTCAAACTTTGACCAACAATTCTGATTTTTGCCACAAATTGTAGGCATGCGTTTTTGCAGCACCCTTCATTATTTTTAGTTCTGAACTACTTTCGAATAGTTCTAAAGTTCTCAGGGGGTACAACAATAGTTCTGCATTTTTTTTTGCGAAATTTTGGGGGATGCTAACTTCACGCTGCACCCGTTTTACGTAAAGCGTGAGTTCTAATCTGATCCCAACCAAGAGTGATTTTCCTAATGGCACATCGAGTTCTGCTTTTTAAATTGTACATAACATAAAGATATTTTAGGGGGTGCTGCGCTGGAACTCCGCGTTTTTCACTTTTGTGCGTTTTATAGTTTCAAACGTATTTCTCGACATTATTCCCAACCAAAAGGGTAGTTTTTCTAATGGCACACCCGAGTTCTGATTTTAAAATTGCACTCATATGCTATTATGTATCCATCGAAGAAATAGACCGAACCTAAGCATATTCACGTATACTCCACGTGATTGCGCTCCAAAACGCCGAGCACGTTACAGGGCCGTACTAAGAATAAATGATTTGTGGTTCTACGACACGAGCAAAAAGTATGCAAAATTATTGCAGGCATGTATATGATCCAAACGTAAAGCTTGGAATTAATATGTTTTTTAATTTAACTGTCATGACCAAAAATAAAACAACTGTCTATTGTTGTTTTTAGTAGAAATGTTTTATCAACAAATTATACTCGAAATTGTCGTAAGGCATTTAAAAAACGTCTTGACACATTAAAACGATAATTGCATATGCATACCAGTATACCTAACCACCGCTTGAACAGGGACGTCAGTGTGCAAACAGTTAATTTTAATATTAGACTAAAAAATGAATAGTTAGTTGGAGTTGAAAGAAAAAGGATTTGAATACATAATGATATATACTAAATATTATACGAAAATTTATTGCACAGACATTTTACCTCTAAAACCGGAAATACATACCTATATGTATTTGAAAATGAAAATCATTCTATATCTGAGGCCGTGGAACTCTCACTGTCATCAAGATTCATGATTGAAGGGGCAACGTGAGTATCAACGATACCGTCTAATTCCCACATTTTAGGTTCGACCTTTTCTTTTACATGCTGAATACATTTTCCCACTTACTCGGTGTTATCCTTTGTATAGCATCATGAAAAATTTAAAACTTTTGTTTTCTGCTGCAACGTATTTTTTTATGTCTGCCCAAATGAGCTCAATCGGATTGAGATCACAATGGTAAGGAGGCAGTCGTAATACAATTTTATTTTGTTTTTTGGCCATTTCATCAATTATGTTCAGTCGTATCATCATAATCAATCTTTTTATTTTTAAGCTATCCTTAAATTTCTGATTTTTTTGTTGGCGTTGTTGGAATTTTCTCGTGTGGAATGAAGCATTATCGAATACTATAATCGAATTATCTTCAAGCTTCGGTAGAGTATTTGGATTCAAATGCCGATAAAGCATCGGGCACAAATCCATCTTCATTACCGATGTGGCAATTTATCCATCGCTTACATTTTCCTAAAAATAATTCATTTTGGACACTTTAAAACCGCCTCTATTGAAAGCATTAAAGGCAAAACAAAATGATTGCTTGATTTCTTATCTCGATATAGTTTAAGAATGTACAAAAACAAAAATAAAATATAATTTTAGTTGCAATTCCTCGTCTTGCAAACAATGTCCTGAACACTTGAGTCACTCCTTCCTTGCATTTCGTATTTATAAATGTGATAATTATTTGTTTTTTGCTAACGCTAAAATGAATCCTTTTAACTCTTATTTAAGGCGGTGTGCAGCTTATATCAACAACTTCATCAGCTGTATCCGTATCAGACATTTTGAGTTCTACGAAATTAAACTGACAAATCTAATAAGCACACAGTAATACCAGTATAAATCTGGTGCCAACTCTGTACTGTACGGCCAGCCGCCGGGACAGCGTTGCCAGATTCGTCGCAGGAAATTATCGTATAAGCACGTTAAAATTATCGTACATTATCCTACACTGCCTTAGGTTCTCTAAGGATTCATGATGAAGGAAAATTTCCGTCTCGGGGGGGCTCTTTCGTTTCCCACTCTTTCCTATAAGCTTGCTGTCTATGTTTGGCTTTCTTCAAACATTCCGCTCCTTTTCTTTGTTTTCTGTATTCGAGAGTATCGCATCTTTTGTTGTGCTTCTCTCTTCCAGAGCAAATTCGGAATCCGACATATTATCGTTATTGAACTGAAACCGGTTAAATATCGAAAATAACTGAAAACGATCTTTTGATTTAAAGTCATATAAACGGGAGACATCGCATTCATTTCATCTAGTGCACATGGGTAAAAAAAATGTGCGCCTCATTGTCAACACATAGAACGTGAGAGCTGATAAACGGCAATTTTTCCCGTTGATGTTTCCCGAGTTAGTCCGCGTAATGCTAGGCAACCCATTATACACAGCGGGGTACGCGCGCTTGTCTACTAAGCGGCAACACTGACAGCTGCTTGCTATTGAACGAAGTTGTTAGATTGATTCAACATCTGTGAGTAAAAAAGCTCGTTCGCAACATTACCGTACATTCAGCTATTATCGCACAGTACTTGAAATTATCGTACAGAAACGATAATTATCGTACGTCTGGCCACGCTGCACCGGGACAGCCGGCATGCACGGTCGTATCGTCTCCCACTCCACCCTCTGGTTTGTCATTGGTTCTGTGTAAGGGCTCGACCTATTCTGCCCAATAACAGTTATGCTCCCTATCTCTTGAAATATATCAGTGCACTGATCACGCAATAATCACGCGATGATCACTGTCATTTTCTAGCGAAATTTGACAGAACTCTTCCTAAAACCTATTGAAAACTGCAAAACTATTCTCTACGCTGTGAACTCATATTCCGCAATAAAAAGCTGCAGAACTATTGTCGAAGCCCCCTCAGAACTGTAGAACTATTCGAAAGTAGTTCAGAATTCCTAAAATAATCAAGACTGCTTCAAAAAGGGTGCCTACTTCCAGCGGGTGCATCATTGGGATCCTGAGGCAAAAACAGACTCCAACAGTTTTTTTGGGACATTAGGGGCAACATTTTCATAGCAATGCGTACGTCTATATGAACACGCCGAAAAATTTACCTAAAGCAACGGACCAGGAAAGACCCGATTTTTTCAATCGAATGTTTCTGGTATATGATAATACTACCGTGCATAAGGCTGCCAAAATTACACCAATTGTGAAGAAATGCAGCTTCGTTGAGCTTCCTCCCTATGGTCCGGACTTGGCTCCGTCTGAGTTTTATCTCTAGAAAATCTTGGATGATGCCGTTTTGACTTAGATGAAGGCCTAAAAACAGCCGTCGACGATTTTTTTGAGAGTCAAGAGAAAACATTTTTTTATAAGTTTATCAGTTCACTAGAGAAGAAATAGTGCAAGTGCATTGATGTAGGGGGGATTATATTGAAAAAAAAAGTATCAAGAAAATAGTGCATTATTTTTTTCATGGCTAGGTAGAGTTCTGTTCTAGTACCCCTCGTATTAGAATATTTCAAAACAACTCTGTGTTTGTTCTCCGAGAATATTCACAACTCGTAAAAATTCACATCGCTTTCAAACATTAGACTAGTATTCCAGTGTACTTTTGTAATTTTGATCGGAATCAATTCAAGCTAATCCAGAACATTTGTTATTATATTAAATAATTTCACTCTCTCGATTTTGAAACTTGTCTTCGCTGCTCTTATATGTTTATTTGTTATTACATTATAGACTAATCATATTAGCAAATTTCCCTGAAATAAAGTCTGGTTTTATTGGGGTTAGTTGTTCAAAGGGGTATTTAAAACATGGAAGCATAAAATGGATACACCAACTTTTTATTTGACAACAAATAATGAGAAAACGTGTTTTTTGGGATTCCATCGAAAGTGTTGACAGGAACGAAAAAACTTTTCATACAAGATTTTTAGGTATTTATGAGGCCTACAAAATGAGATCACACGTAAAAAGATCTGACTAATATCAAAAATGTTATGGCCGAAAAACGATGCAAATTGCAGGTTTTGGCACTTGGTGATAATGCGACGATAACTTCAACTACTTGAAATTCTTCAAATCCGTAGAATTGATACTTCTAAATAGCAACAACAAAATTGGAGAAGTGGTTTTTTGATAATTTCTAATTCTTTATCTCAAAACACCTGTTTTCCGAGTATTTTATACGAAAACGCCATTTTAAATAACCCAGCGAGCAGCAGTTGGCTACAAAAAATTATCAAATACTGGTTCTACGTTCAGCAAAGCACAAACAGTTTTTTCCCCAAACGATGATCGTATTGGTTACTTGGTCGGCCAATCCCAGCGAATCACTATTTGTGTCTGTGGCTGATTCTTTCTAGTGGGCGTCGACAAGTGATCAGATTGGAAACAAGTTTTTACGTTCAATGTTCTTTGAGCGAAATCTGAAGCAGTGTAACTTCCTAATAGCTTTTATTGGTCGGCCAATCAGGCGTCTGGATGTTTCTTGTTCTTCATCGTAGGTATGTTAAGGCTTTGTGGTATGTCGACTAAGAGGGCGCATGATATTGACACGTTATTTTTTCTGTTCTGTCATTAAATTCATATGTTTGGTGTTATTTTAAAGAGCGAGTGTTTGCAAATAATTGTGGTGTTAGACGATTTCAAGACATAATACTTCTTAGATAATGTGCAAAGGGCAGCACAAGAGTAATGAAAGTAGATGTTTCCACCGGTAATTTAGTCTAACCATAATAGCAAATTTTCCCGAAATAATTATTTCTGGTGCAAGTTTTGTTATAAAATTCACTTTAAACTAACCCTGTATATTGCTCAATAAACTAGTAGTGATGGCCGGAAAACAGGTGTTTTGGGATTAACAATTAGAAATTCTCAAAAACTACTTGATCAATCTAGTCCAATTTTGTTGTGGTTATTCAGGAGTACGAATCCTACGAATTTGAATAAAAAGTTTTCCCACAAAAATTGGTGTACCCATTTTATGCGTCCATGATTTAAATACCCCTTGAACAACTTCCACCAATAAAACCAGACTTTATTTCGGGGAAATTTGCTAATATGATTAGAATATAATGTAATAACGAATAAACTTATAAGAGCAGCGAAGACAAGTTTTAAAATCGAGATAGAGAAATTATTTAATATAATATAATAACAAATGTTTTGTATTAGCGTGAATTGATTCCGATCATAATTACAAAAGTACACTGCTAGTTCAATGTTTGAAAGCGATGTGAATTTTTACCAACTGTAAATATTGTCGAAGAACATACAGAGTGTTGTTTTAAAAATTTCTAATACGAGGGGTACTGGAAAAGAACTCTACCTAGCCATGAAACAAATAACGTACAATTTTCTTGATAATTTTTTTTTCAATATAATCCCTTCTCCATCAATGCACTTGCACTATTTCTTCTTTAGTGAACTGATAAACTTATTAAAAAATGTTTCCACTTGACTCTCAAAAAAGTCGACGACGGCTGTTTTTATGCCTTCATCTGGGTCAAAACGGCATCATCGAAGACTTTTCTAGAGATACAACTCAGACGGAGCCAAGTCCGGACCATAGGGAGGATGATCATTCTCAACGAAGCTACATTTCTTCACAATTGGTCTAATTTTGGCAGCCTTATGCACGGTTGTATTATCATATAGCAGAAACATTCGATTGAAAAATCTGGTCTTTCCTGGTCCGTTGCTTTAGGTAAATTTTTCAGAGTTCTAAAAAAACTGTTGCCATCAATTTTGCAGTAGACGGTTGCGTCGGTGCCTTTTTGGGGGCTGGTGACCTTCTATTAACCCTCTGCTTGGATTCTGTTTTTGCCTCAGGATCCCAATGATGCACCCGCCGGAAGCTGGCACCCTTTTTGAAGCAGCCTTGATTATTTCCAGAATTCTGAACTACTTTCGAATAGTTCTACAGTTTTCAGGGGGCTGCGACAATAGTTCTGCATTTTTTTGCGAAATTTTTAAAAAAGTTTTGGGGTGCTAACGTAAAACGTGGGTTCTGAGCTACGGGTTCACAGCGTAGTGCATAGTTTTACAGTTTTTCGGCAGAAAATTCGACAAGTACTCGGCACTCCAGCGCTATAAGCCTCACACATTTATGCAACCAATAATTTTCAAAAACTGAAATTGGGGTTGCTAAAAGAAAAACTACACTTAACTAAGAAAATGTGAACAAATATTACCAACTCACTCTAGCATAATACGAGTGCAATTTCAAAATCAGAACTCGATGGTGCTAGTAGAAAAATCACTCTTGGTTGGGATCGGATCAGAACTCACGTTTTACGTAAAAGTGAACCCCTTTTACGTAAAGTTAGTATCCCCAAATCTTTCGCAAAAGAAACTGCAGAACTATTGTCGCACCCCCTGAGAACTTTAGAACTGTTCGAAAGTAGTTCAGAACTGAAAATGATCAAGGGTGCTGTAAAAGTTCCAACAAACAATTGTTGGTCAAAGTTTCCAAATACTACCATATTCATATTCAAATTGTCGTGTAAGGAGATTATTACGCTGGATTGAGATTCAGGTATATTCAGTGCTCAAGGTAGAGACCTTCAGATGGCAATCTTCGACTTTTTGAGTTTGCTTTGTTGCTTTTTGTTGCTGTGTTGGGTCTTATATTATATAATATATATATATATATATATATATATATATATATATATATATATATATATATATATATATATATATATATATATATATATATATATATATATATATATATAGTATATGACCCCCCATAGACGACAATCATTGTCTCAAGAATTGTATACGGCTAATGACAATCTTTTGTCAGAAATTTTATGCGATACTCTAATTTACTCATTTTTCCTCACAGCTCACTTTGGAAATTGGAAATTAACCAACATTTTGAAAGTAAGATTAGAAGACATGCCACTATTTGACATATTATGCTTGTGCATTTCAATTGCTTTTTTCACGGCTAGGTAGATACCTTTTGCAGTGACCCTCATAGATTAGCTGTCGTTTTTAACAAAAAATCTAATATAAATAATAAAATAATCATACTTATTCTGCAGGATATTTCGTCATCTTTAAACAAAGCGTATGTGTAATATTTGCTCTGACCTAGTACGTCACAACTGTTTTACTATTAGTTTGATCTTTTTACGTGTGGTCTCATTTTGTAGGTCCATAATTACCTAAAAATCTTGTATGAAGAGTTTCTTCGTTCCTGCCAACACTTTCGATTGAATCCCAAGAAAACACGTGTTCTCTTTCTTTGTTGTCGAATAAAAAGTTTTCTCTCAAAAATTAGTGTACCCATTTTATGCGTCCATGTTTTGAATACCCTTTTGAACAACTTGCACCAAAAAAACCAGACTTAACAATTATTTCGTAAATCAGGATTATTTTCGTCTAATACTACGTTTCATAAACGTCATTGCAAGTCAAGATTAATATTTATTTTCATCTGCAGCATTCATTGACATGCCCGAATTACTAACCTACATGAGGCAAAATTACATCAGATGGAAGGAGCTGGATGAACAGGGTCATACAACACTCAGCGATATCCAAAAGTTACAAAGCACCATGTTCATGGCTCCCACATTTCCCGTATCCAAAGGAGGTACTATGAAAGGAGACTGATCCAGGCTTACTCGTAAGTATCAACAAAGTTGATTCATAAGTTGGTCATTCAATAGAATATTCTACGCAAGCTGCACTACTGAACAGTAACGAGATATCATTGATGGTATAGTCAACGGTCCAGCAAAAATTATAACATTTAAATGGAATTTTATGTATACCATTCATGTGTGGACGGAATATTACTCATAAACAAATACATGTTTGGAAAATCTATTTATGGCATGTTATACATGACATTTGAGGGCACATTTCTAAAATATTATCTATTATACAGGGTGTCCCAATTTTGACCTGCATATCAAAGTTGTGATTTTGTAAATGAAATGCCTCAAATCTTATTGCACATTTGGATAAACCAATTCAAAAGAAGAAGATTGATATAGCATACTATGGGTATATATGAATATATTTCTCCAAAATGTATTTGTTTATGAGTAATATTCCGTCCACACATGGATGGGCCACCCTGTATATAGGCATAATCAAGAAGATGAAGACGCAAGTGGACATTCTAACTAAATCTTAAACAGACAAACACAATAGGAAAAACGGTTTCACACAATAAAGTCTCTACGGACAACCAAATGACTCGAGCGAGTTCAAACTTGTACTGAAGGCAAATCTCATATTCTTCTGTCTCCCCTCCACGGTCGGCGCCTCCAATGTTGCCAGATCGAACGCTACTTAATTTTACAGACTTCGTAGTTGCGTTTAGTCTGTGAAAGCATTATAGTCATCCTTCATGTGAAGTTTTACAAATTCAAAACAGCTAAATGCATAGTGTAAATTAAAAAAATGTTTTCTTTTTCAGGTCACAGCGTCGACGTGGGTGATCTAAGACAATTTTTACTCAAAAAACTGTGAACGTTTATGCGTGCATATCGTATTAAAAAATATCCCCATCCATAATCCCCAATTTCCTCTATCCCTTGACCCACAGGACTCGAAAATTGTTACATATACCTGTCTTCAATTTTGCGACTGAGGAAGTTTTCAAACTTGTGAAAACTACACTTTAAAATGTAACTAAGAAAATGGTATAAAGCTGAAACTTTGCTATCGACTTTAGAATACCTGAAACCATATCAGGACTGGAATTTCTTCAGTTGTATGAGACGTGCTCCTTTACTTTCAATTAGTTGCTTAAAAATTCTTCTAGTGGCAAGCTATAAACGGTTATGCGTAAAACTGTATTTTCGAAAATGTTTAGAGACTCGATGAAACTTCTTCCACAACGTTGTTATTCTTGATCTGTGATCTATTTGCCACTTTTGAAATATTTTTCTAATCATATTTCGAGTTCTGAATTATCTAGGTGGGTTACTGAATGTACAATGTGTTTCCCTTTTAGACTAGTGTATAGTCGATAACATAAAATGTGTCGCTTCTGAAAATTTCTATCAGAAATAACATGGTTATTAACATTACGAAATCCAATTTTTCAAATAGCCCAAGTGACAGCTCAACACATTGGTTTTGTGAAAAGGTCTTATTGATTCAATTTGAAAGGAATGGCCAAGACGAATCAGGAAAATACGAAAAATGATGAATTTAAAAAAATGGCTAGGTACTACACGGATGATTATAAAAGACATCATATGAAAGGATAAGTTGGTGAATCATTGTGTGTGACACAAATAATGTTATCGACTGTATACTTATTTTTATAAAATGCATGCTGGTTCGTGCATTCTATTATACATATATACAAATATAATATACAATCTTTTTGTTTTTATTATGTCTTAAATTATTTGTTTTCGTATAGATAATATTATATATTTCCATTAAAGAATGATGTGTTCTTACTGTTTTCTATTTATAAAAACTGAATGGAAAGCATATAAACATAAATGTGCAATTTCGATGTCATAATAAGGTGAATAAAAGTTGTTTTTATAAGAATTTTGTTTCATTTTCGAATTTATCAAAAGTGGTCATGAGAATGAGGATCCAAAACCGGTTGGGCGACACGTTACAATTGAATATTTTTTTAAGTTTCGACCAACGAATTCGAATACGGTTAAACCATTGATTCCCAAAGTGGTCTATATCGACCACTAGGGGTCTATGACAACCTGCAAGGGGTCTACGATACTGGATCTCAACACATACACTGATAGTACCTATTTACTTACATCATACTATCTTATAATATCAAAACATATACATTATTTATAAAAGTAGCTATGAAGTAAAAAATGTATTATATATGTTTATAAAATTGTGTAAGTTGTAGGATGTTGGTATTCGCTTTGTGGTCGCAATACATTTTGAACTTGTAAAAACCTAAGAGTCGCAGTCTCAGAGCTTCGCTACCTTGCACTGACTTGTTCAATTCGTCGCTCTATAAATACGAATGTGGGACAAATACGTTTATTCGTTTCCTGAATCTTGAAAAGGAAAGTGCTAAGAAAATATTTTAAAAAATATAAACAGATAGTATCTCACACAAATTATAGTGAGTCAGTGTTATTTTGTTTGAGAGTGCTGGAGAAAAGTAAGTACATTATTTTTTATTAAATTTTAGTTTTGTACTCTTAGTTAGCAAATTACGCCAATCGTGACTTTAGTTATTAGTAGTTATTAAATATTCAATCATGCAAAATTACACGAGTACTCCTCAATAGTTTCTTTTTGAAAGTTTTAGCAATCGGTAATATAATTACAGTGCAATCTCCGTAATTCGAGCTAATTGTTGCAAGAAGATGTTCGAATTATGGAATGTTTTCGGAAAAATCAAAAAATATTTTTAATATACAGCTGCTGGATTTTCTGTCTTATTTAAATAATTTAATTTTGCCCACAGATGACTGATGCCATGTCCGAATCTAAAAAGAAATGTAGACAGTACAGTGTTGATTTGAAATTTGGCTTCATTCCATCATTGCCGGACAAACAATCGCCTATGTGCCTTTTATGCAACAAAGTTTTGGGCAATGACGCTATGAAACCATCTAAACTGCAAGATCATCTGAGAAGATGCCATCCTGATAAAACAGAGAAAGATTTGAAATACTTTCAGACACTCAAAGACAAATTTCAGAAGAGACCTACACTGCACAGAATGTTCGCTTCGACGTCACAAAGAAATGATGATGGTTTGCGGGCGTCTTACAATATCTCGTTACTTATTGCAAAATCCGGAAAACCGCATACTATCGGAGAGAAGTTAACTTTGCCAGCCGTTGAAGAGGTTTTAAAAACTGTTTTACTCAAACCTGCATCTGATATCATTAAAAGAATTCCCTTAAGCAACAATACTGTTGAAAGACGTATTGATGAAATGAGTTCTGATATTGAAAGCTTCTTATGTAATGATTTGCAAACAACCCATTTCTCTATACAACTGGAAGAGTCAACTATACCTGATAATGCAGCATTATTATTGGCATATGTTCGTTTTATTATGAATCAAGAAATCTACGAAGAACTGCTCTTCGCAAGAACTTTGATAACCGACACTAAAAATGAATCAATATTTCATGTTTTGAAGGATTACTTCATTGAAAAAGCAATTTCTTTATCAAATATAATATCAGTAGCTACAGATGGAGCACCTGCCAAGGTTGGACGTTATCGTGGATGTATAAGCTATTTAAAACAAAATGTGTCAGGGGTGTTAGCAATACATTGCGTCATCCATCGACAACATTTAGTTGCTAAAAATTTGAGTGTTAGATTGCATGAATCACTTCATTTAGTCATTGATGCAGTAAACCGAATCCGAAGCAACGCGTTGAAAACGCGGTTATTTGCGCAGTTGTGTGAAGAAAATGACGAACACTTTCATCAATTACTCCTTCACACTGAAGTACGCTGGCTGTCGAAAGGCTTATGTTTGACAAGATTTTTTGCACTGTTTCAGACTATTTTAGAATTTCTGGATACTAAAGATAAAATTTTAAAAGAAAATTTAATGAAGAGGAAAATAGACATCGCCTATTTAACAGATTTGTTTACAAAATTTAATATGGTTAATTTGCAATTACAAGGCGACAGTTTAAATTTGATTAAAACAAAGTCCATCTTATCAGCGTTTCTTGCCAGAGTTAAACTAATGAAGCAAAATATTGGACGGGGCGAATTTTCTCAGTTCTCCAATTTGTCACAGACAAACTGCCAGGAAGACGACGTTCAACATTTAAATGCCCCCTATTCAGATTTTGAATCTAGGTTTGAGGATATTTTGACTATGGTAATACCACCGTGGATAATTAATCGATATGGTGACATAGAAGAAACGAATGTCATAATACAAGAGGAAGTGACTGAACTAAGTACAAACGAAGAACTTAAGGTTCAGTTTAAAAACGGATATCAGCAATTCTGGCTGCAAAACAACATAACCGTTACTTATCCCGCATTATGGAATATACCGAGGAAATTTTTAATTTCCTTTCCATCGTCATACCTAGTGGAAAGGGAGTTCAGCGCTGTTACCAATCTCCTAACGAAAAAAAGAAACAGACTGGACATCATTAGCCGAGGAGATTTAAGATTAACCCTTACAAAATTGACGCCAAATGTTGATAATTATTAAAGCATCAGGTTCATCCTTCTCACTAAAAATATTGACTTATTGCTTATGTTATTTTATTTATAGTTTATTTTGTTTATTGGTATCTGACCAATAAATGCCCACATTGGGAATAAGTGCCCGCATTGATTTTTTTAAAGAACCCCCTTTATAGAAAATATTTTTTTTAAATTATTCTGAAAATTCAAGGATAGGTACACACTAAAATTCGTTAATTTTTTGCCTATTTTTAGATAACTTAGACGTATAAGAAGTGGAATTTAATCAAACTAACAGTGAAATTATTGTAGAACATACGTTTATGTTATAATTAATAAACGAACTCGCTTATTGTACTATTTTAAGTTAAAAGCTTTTTTTTATTATTTTTCACTTTTTTTTTATTTTATCCTTCTTATTTTTTTTTCAATGCGGGCACTTATTCCCGATGCGGGCACTTATTGGTCAGACACCTGTTTATTTAATGTTACGTATATTTTACATAACAGATACAAAATTTTATTTTGAGTAGTTTTAATTTAAATTCAATTAATAAATGTATAAATTAACATGTTTTTACTTTAAGTTTTTAACACTAAACTTCACTACAGTTAGAAATTTACAGGAAATCAATATCAGGTAAGTAGGGGGGGTCTACCCAACACGGAAAAACATGGCAAGGGGTCTACGACACAAAAAAGTTTGGGGAACTCTGGTTTAACATCATATGGGCTTGTCTTATTGTAACCCAGTCCGAATTTGTTGGCTTGGACGACATGTATTCCTGATGAGGTCATTCACGAATAGATCAGGCTAAGTAGTCAAAGATGTACTATTACAAAATATATTATGTAAAGAGGTTTTTTTAAAAAAGGGTTTAAAATCCCATAAGAATCGAGGGAGTATCACCAAACAACAACCAAAACAATCAAAGGTAAGGCAGTTAAGAAACTACTCCATAAACTGGTGATTGGGGCCCAATATCCCTAAATTTGGAAACCAAATGAAAGGCCGGTACACCTTCTCAACCAAGGCTTCAGCGGGAAATGACCGACACGAAGTTGACTGTCAATCAATGTTAAAAGTAGGAGGGTGTTCCAAGATTCGACGCTCCACATGATCGATATCAAAGCTATATCGAAACCAAAAGGTGTACCAAAAATAATAACGAATGAAAAATTCCGCAACCGAACCTATCTACATACAACATCAATGGTTGCCTATGGGCAGACCCAAACCAACTTTACGACGGATCAACGATATTTTGTGAGGAAATTGGTGGGATAAAACGAGTGAGTCATTAATAAAATGGAAGATTGTGTCCAAAAGATTTCAACACTATACGCTAAGAAAGATATAATATAGTCAAAATCACGATGTCAGGAACATATGACAATTAATTTATATTATGATTTTGCGAAGTTAGGTTACCTATTCCACTAATTATTTTTATTTTCATTATATTTCATGATTTTAAGTGATATTTGCTAGGTAACTTTTTCACAACTTCAAGTCAAAATACCAGAAGAGCTGTAGAGCATGTAATCACCCTATAAGCTTAACAAAAAGGCATTAAGTATTTTTTACAAATTGAGACACCCAAGCATTTGAAGAAACTATTGAGAATTTTGTTTAAACTTATCTTTAATTACTTGAAAGGCTTTGACTCTTGGTTATTATTTTAAATTTACTGGTATGAATTTTTCGGTAAAAAATGAACTTAAAACCCGACGGGTGAATGGATTTTTTTTTATTTTAGTGTATTTATATGCTCACAGCCCCGATAAGTCTATACACCTGTTAACCATATTTCAAACATCATAGATTCGCCCGTACATTTGCCTTTAAAACAAAATAATGGAGAAGTGTTTTCGATCAGCGTATGCCTGCGATCTAACCTCACCGCCCAGCGAACCGGTCCGGCTGACTAATCTGTCCGTACTGCAGCTCAAAAACAGACACAGCATTGAAGGGTAAGATGTAGAAAGAGGCGACGTTGCCAGATGAGCGGTAACTACCGATAGAGCAGGGAAAAAATGTGAATGGACTAATTGTATGGGCCTGTTTGACTGACTTGATCGGTTTAATTGTTTCATTGTACTAGTCGTAACTAATTTTTTTTTTCAGACGATTCAACCTGTGCTGAACGTAATCATTTATGAACTGAAGACGACGTTCCAGGGAAAAAATGTGAATGGACTAATTGTATGGGCCTGTTTGACTGACTTGATCGGTTTAATTGTTTCATTGTGCTAGTCGTAACTAATTTTTTTCTCAGACGATTCAACCTGTGCTGAACGTAATCATTTAAGAACTGCAGACGACGTTGCATGGAATGTGCTAAGTCAACCTACTTGACGCCATTTTTAACGTGTTCGACGTAGCAACGGAAAATCATTAGTTTTTTACCAAAATTGGTAAATGCGATTAGTTCCACCTTTACACTTATTCATCGAATTATTTCGGGAAAATAGACTATTCACTCATCTATTTTTGCCTTCCAAAAACAGTAGGAACGCTCTTTTTGTGTACTGGGACGGTTTAGACTGTTGAACCGGAGCCAACTCAGACTGAATTTGATTCATCGTAATTCTCATTTTCTAGAAATAGTCGATGTTTGTTTTTTAACTTTATAAATTCAGGCGCTGAAGTAAAGTGGAGTCAGTCCAAGAAAGATAGCAGCTGTGAAAGTTTGTTCAGTGAAAGTTTTTCTGATCTCCTTATAAAGGTAAGAAGTTTTGCATTTACCTGTTTTAATAGGCAGGTCAAAGTTTAATAGGCATAACAAGATTTGAAAAATGCTATAGCCATAACAGGAAAAAGTTGTCGATCTGATAAATGAAAAATATTCAGCAATTAATTTTGCGAAGTGATTAAAAAAATAACAATAATTGTGGAATAGAAAGTATATTGACAGAAATAGCATAATATTGAGTTAATGAAGAATATAAATGCATTAATCCAGCACTAACCTTGCTGGACGTAATTTTTATACCTGCGGATGAGACTGATTTTACTGTTGGTACAAAAAATACGTCACATATTTCCGAACATTCGTTAACCTTTTGTATACTAAATAAATTTGTTGCAAATTGTTCTAAAAAATGCCGCTTCAGAAACTTAGCAAAGCTAGATAAAGACCTGCTCAATGAGTTTTTGGAAATTCCTCCTTTCGAACAATTATTGATCTATCTGCCAAAAGTTGAGGAAAAGGTCTTATTTTTGAATGAAGTACTGTTCAATATCTTCGATTTACTAGCTCCTGTAAAGGAAATTCAATTTAAAGTTCGAAAACCCCCATGGTTAACGTTTTCTATTAAACGCATGATTAAACTAAAAAACAACAAATTCCCGAAATTTAAGGTAAACTAAACTGCTGCCAATTGGGAGAATTATAACCAAATGAAAAATCAAACGAATATTGCCATATATAATGAAAAGAAAAGTTATTTGAAATACAGTATTGATAAAAATATCAATCAAACTAAAAAATTATTAAATTTAAATATTAGCAACAAAAAACAGGTTGTATTCCAAGGCACTTGATGAACTAAATCACGAAATGCTGTTTGGTATTTTACACTATATAGGGTTATACGAATCTGCTAGCAGGCTTATGTGCCACTATTTAACTAACAGAACACAACATGTAGAAACAGATAAAGGTATGTCCTCCAAAGATGTCATCCCATCGGGTATTCTACAAGGCTCCATTTTAGGACCTCTGATTTTTAGTATTTATACCTCAAACCTTTCCCAGTGTCTCCGAAGTTTGTGAGGTATGCTGACTATACTCAGCTTTATTTTCCTTTCAATCCTAACGAGAAACGTGATGCATTGGCCATTATTAATCGAGATGTTGAAGAATTACTTGTATTTTCGGAAAATCACAACTCATGTTATTTGGCAGATTGAAAGACAATATTGAGCCCACTTTCCATGTCAAAATAAAAGGTGAATCTAGTATACCTTGTTATGTTTCTTGTGAGAAATTTGGGAGTAGAATTTGACTCATATCTGAGATTTAAGCCTCATAATTAATAAATTTATCCAGAAAGCTTATGCTTCTCAAAGTTCTATATGCTCATCGATATGTCCTCCCTGTTAAAATATTGCTTTGTGAAGTACTAGTACTCAGCCATTTTAATTTTTGTAACAGCGTTTATGGGTTTTGTTTAAACAAGATTGACATGGATAGAATTGATCGTGTACAGAAGTCCTGCCTACGATTTATTTATGGTATTCATAAGTTTGAAAGAGTTTCACATAAGTTGCTTGATGCAAACTGGTCGAACATGCGATATCGATGTGAGTTGCATGCATGTAATCTTTTTCACATCTTCTTCTATTCGATAGAATAACTTGTCGCGCCGATGTTCATAACTTAAATTTGCGGTTTCGGGGCTACATATCACCTCCTCCTCATCAAACTTCTCTTTTTTGTAGATATTTCTCATACATTTACCGGCTTTACAATCAAATTCCTAATGACTTTAGAATTCTGCATCCGAACCAGTTGAACCAAATATAAAAAAAATATTTTTGAATAACACTTCAGCGCACAATAATGTAAATGAGGCACAAGCGTCCAAACAAATAAAAAAGAAACAATTTTTTGTACAATAACTCTATTATACTAAATCTACTATTCGAGGCTTTCTAAGGTAGATCTTTCTTTTTATATATGTATATATTATAACTAAATATATATTAAGTGACATATAAATCCGAACACCCAGTTTAAATGGTTTTATTTTAATAAAAGTTGGTGAATGTATTTATCTTACTGTAAATAACAAGTGAAAAAATTTTCAGCCTTATCAGTTGGACATTCCGGTTTTTATACTGCTTTTTTTTAATTCACTAACGCTCTAAAAATGAATATTTCATCCGCAGTAAAGAATCAACGTTGGCGGATTTTGGTTCTTGACATCCTTTACGATCGGTTACGATGTCTAGAGTACGGAGACCTGTACGATTTCGTCAACTTAGTGAGTTTGATAGGGGCCGTATAGTGGGACTTCGGGAAGCTGGACTTTCTTTTCGGGCAATTACAGTTAGAGTGCAAAGAAGTGTAGACACTGTGGTTAGGTGTTGTCAGGCATGGCATCGAGAAGGCCGTACGCAAAGAGCAAGGGGCACTGGACGCCGCCGTAGAACAACAGACCGTGAAGATCGCCGCCTAAGATTATTGGCCTTAAGGGACCGTTTCTCCACTACCAGGTCCATTGCAAATGAATGGTTTGCAGAACACGGAAGACCTATTGGCATGCGAAGTGTTTACCGACGAATGAGAAGTTTTGGCTTGTTTTCATACCGGCCACACTGGGTCCTCCCTTTTACTCGAGAACACCGACGTAATCGCCTTGAGCGGTGCAGACAACGGTCACTCTGGGATCAGGAATGGAACAGTATTGTCTTTAGTGACGAGTCTCGATTTTGTTTAGGCATGCACGATGGTCGTGCCAGGGTTAGAAGGCGACGTGGTGAAAGGAGGAATCTACAGTTTTTTGTTGAAAGACATGTTCATCACACTGTTGGAGTTATGGTTTGGGGTGCTATAGCTTATGGTTCCAGGTCACCTTTAATCTTCATCAGAGGTGACATGAACGCGCAGCGTTCTATCCACGAAGTTCTAGAACCCCATCTTTTACCCTATCTTGACACCCTGGCAGATCCAACTTTCCAACAAGATAATGCCCGACCACATATTGCAAGAGTCACAATAGACTTCTTTCAACATAATGATGTCACATTGTTACCATGGCCACCAAGATCTCCCGACTTATCCCCAATTGAGCACGTGTGGGATATGATGGGTAGGAGATTGCTCAATTTGCAACGTCCTCCTCAGACTCTAGAAGCACTTCGAGAGGAGTTGGTGGTTGCCTGGAATGAGATACCACAGGAGGACATTGACCACCTGATCAGAAGCATGCCTAGGCGCGTTGGAGAATGCGTAGCACATCAAGGTGCATCCACACATTATTAAAGGTCAAAGGGCTTTAAAGCAGGAAATTAATTTTGAAATTTTTATCATTTACTTATTATGCTTCATTAAGTACTTATACAAAATTTTATTAAAATAAAACCATTTAAACTGGGTGTTCGGATTTATATGTCACTTAGTATATTATTATCAAGAAAATTCCTATTCCACTAACGGTATTGGTTTATGACAGAAATACCTCACATAATTAATGGGAACCCCCTTACAGATAAAATATAGATCATATTTCTTATTATTAGGCGCTGAGAATACCTATAATTATTCGGACAATCTGTATGAACATTGATTAACGTATTCAACCTATATCATCAAGCGCTAATTTGCCTTTTTTTTAATGAATTTTACTCCATATTATTTTATATCAATACTGAAATGAAATATTCATTTATCGTCAACATTATTCCAAATTTATTAACATCAGTTATAATTCCAGAACCTAATCATAAATACAAATACAAAAGCTCATAGGTAAGCTTGATATTTTCAAATGTGGTGTTGTTTTGAGCAATTTTCCACACCTATGTTTATTATACATGAGTGTGTTCTGTTATTTTTAGATTTCGAATGTGGTATTTTTAGTATGCGGTATTAACTGAATGCATATTTAGAGACGTGTGTCATGAGTAATAAAAACAAAAGTGGTGATCAGATTTCAGATCCTTCCAAAATTAAACAGAGATGAATCTTCGAAAGCTAAATGAAAAAGTTATCTAGTATGGATCAGTCCATCATAATGAAGTTGTTATTTGACTCAAAATGTTTAAGAATCCTTACAAAAACAGGAGGATACAGCACTTGAAAGCTCTCTGCACTTTCTGTTCCATAATGTTTGTTTTGAAAAATTTCAACTAACACAAAAGTCGTGATTAAAAATTAAACATCATACACAAGAACGCTTTTTCAGGGGGGTTTTCTATGTAACATTTTCTTTTCGAGGACTTCATGAAAAAGATACGGGGTGTTGAAGTTAGAAAATAGAAAACAATTTTTGATGAAGCCCTAGAGGAAAAAATGTTACATAGAAGACCCCCCTTAAAATGCGGTCCTATGTATGACGTTTTCATACTGGCGATTTAATTTTCTCTTTTGAGCTAGATGCTAAAAAATAGTAATCAGTAGATTAAAAGTTTCAGTCGGTTTCCGCTACGTGCGACGTGATCTCCCGATGGACAACCATCATCGGTGGTCGTACGTCACAGTAGGCAATCGCTTCCGCACTGCCGCGTGCTGTCGCTGTATGCACTGTGCATGGTGGAGGCAAATACAGTCATTCACGCGGGATTGATCATCGCAACGATTTTATTTTCATTTATTATTTAGTGTTTTTGTTATACATGTTCGTAGCTCTTAGAAGGGCTAACTTGTGCCAAACATCCTTTACGAACTGATGACATCGTTGCATGGGAAGCACTGAGTCAACTTACTTGACAACATTTTTTTATTTAGATGTCAATGGTACCACTTATGTTCCGCGACTGGTGGGATGACGAAGACTTTTCATGGCACAGGCCATCTCGCCTTCTGGACCAACATTTTGGTGTTGGTCTCAGGAAAGATGACCTCTTCAACAGCCTGAGCACAATCCCAAGGAGGTCGAGGTACGTGAGGCCGTGGACACCCACCAACATCACAAGGCAGGATTCGGGCAGCACCATCCAGCAAGACAAGGATAAATTCCAGGTAAGGACGTGTTGCGAATCCTTAAAAAAGTCTATACCCAGACAAGATGTCATACGGTATCTAACAAAAGCTTGGATTATCTGACGAATGACTCATCTAATTTTTTACAAATTGGTAAGCTTAGATTCGATATCTGCGATGTTGCCAAATTCACTGTTTTCCAGAAACTGATAGCAACTTTTGTTTTTTTTACTGAATGAATTTTATTCGATATTTGTATTCTACGAGAAATTCTGAATACTTTTTATTAAGCATACCTTGATGTAGACCTCATCGTTTTCGAAATGTTCGCGGTCAAACATTAGGTAATATCTAAATAAAAGGTATTTTTTCACCTGAGCAATGACCGGTATCGAAAGTAATTTCCTGACATTTCTGACATTAAGCTACTATTCGTCATGGGTTAAGTTGAAAAACGCTTTTTAGCGACACTTCGCCTTTTTATACTTTGTATAAATAAAGCCGGATTATTATTATTATTATTATTATTATTCGTCAGAGCGGTCCGGTCGACCTTTGCTCTTAGTTAAAAGTCTCGTCGGTCTGTTAGTCTGTCAGGTCTGGCTACCCAGATACCAAACATGTTTAAGGGGAAAAGGGAAAGAGTGAAAGAAAGGAAGGAAAACATTTGAAATATACTAAGTGACATATAAATCCGAACACCCAGCTTAAATGGTTTTATTTTAATAAAATTTTGTATAAGTACTTAATGAAGCATAATAAGTAAATGATAAAAATTTCAAAATGATTGCACTGCTTTAAAGCCCTTTGACCTTTAATAATATGTGGATGCACCCTGATATGCTACGCATTCTCCAACGCGCCTAGGCATGCTTCTGATCAGGTGGTCAATGTCCTCCTGTGGTATCTCATTCCAGGCAACCACCAACTCCTCTCGAACTGCTTCTAGAGTCTGAGGAGGACGTTGCAAATTGAGCAATCTCCTACCCATCATATCCCACACGTGCTCAATTGGGGATAAGTCGGGAGATCTTGGTGGCCATGGTAACAATGTGACATCATTATGTTGAAAGAAGTCTATTGTGACTCTTGCAACATGTGGTCGGGCATTATCTTGTTGGAAAGTTGGATCTGCCAGGGTGTCAAGATAGGGTAAAAGATGGGGTTCTAGAACTTCGTGGATATAACGCTGCGCGTTCATTCAAGGTGGACCGAACCCTGAGGAACACCGGCCCGTACTGGCCGTGTTGTTGACACAATATTGTTAATTTTGATCCGAAACTTCCTTCAAGAAAGGATTTCAGTAATTTTAGAAGCCAAAAAGGAAAACCCTTTTGGATTAGTTTATAGAGGAGGCCCGCGTGCCACACCTTGTCAAAGGCTTTTGAGACATCCAAAAGCAAGATGCCAGTACTCATGCTGAGGGTGAACCCTCTGGTTACATGCTCCACCAGCCTGACTGCCTGTAGCTCGGTGCTATGCTCGGACCGAAAACCGAATTGGACGTCAGGAATCACATGGTGATTTGACGAAAAATTCTCAAGGTGACGATAAATCTCCTTTTCGGTGAGCTTAGAAGGAGATGACAGCAGACTTATGGGACGGTAATCCTGAGGAAATATCGAACCCACCTTCTTTGGAATCATGATGACCTCAGCAGTCTTCCACCCAGCAGAGAAGTACTGGATTTTGAGCCTGGCATTGATTATTGTCACCAAGTATGTCAGGGCTTTCGGCGAGAACAGCTTCAACGCCTTGTTGGTGATTTGATCCTCCCCAGGTGCTTTACGCACCTTGAGGTCTTTAATATGACTTAGTAACTCCGCTGGTGTGCAATGTGGAAACTCGGAGGGTTCCGCTAATGTGCTATGTGGAGCCTCAGACGAATCATCTGAAGAAGAGTCATCTGAAGAGGATTCAGTGCCTCCCCTAACGCCGTTGGCTCTAAAATATCTCCTGAAGGATCGTACGATGTGCTGTTCCTCGTCGAGGTCATTATCGAGATCATAGTTGGGAGAGAACTGTTTTTCCATGGCATCAGCGAAAACCTCGACCTTATCCTCCGTCCTGAAGACCATGCCTTCAGGACCGTGGATGTGTGGGAGTTGTTCTCGCTTTCCGTTTCTGAGTGACTTTGCGACCCTCCAGAGAGGAATACTTGAATCAAGCATTCCCGCCAGAAAGTCGCTCCATCGCTCGTTGCGGAGTTCGTGCAGTGCGTTTCTCACTTCATGGACAAGATTTGTAGCCCTACGAATGTCATCAGGATGACAAGACCTTTTTGCCTGCTTAATAGCGGCTCTTTTGTCAGAGATTTTCTGACGAATGTCCGCAGGCAAAAAAGGTCTGCCGTGTCGTTGTACAGGAAATACAGCTGCACGCTGTAGAGCTGCTTGAATGAAACTTGTCCACTCCGCTTGAGCGGCATCTATTCCAGACTCATCATCTATAATCGGGATATTGGGAAACTCTCTAAGGAGCAACTTGTATAGGTCCCTATCAATGCGTTTCCTTGGAGGAGCTGCCTCCTCAAAAGTTTGCTCATTGCCCACATCCAAGACAACAGGTAGATGGTCACTAGAGATATCATACAAGATTCGAGAAGAGATACTGTATCTACAGTTTTTAGATATCGCGAAATCGATGACATCTGGTGCCTGAATGGATGATGTGTCGGCTCTTCAGTGCTATGTATAAGGTACCCATTTCGCATCACATGGTTGTACAATCGAACCCCACTAGTGGAATTCAACCTAGAATTCCATGCTCGGTGTTTGCAGTTGAAGTCCCCTGCCACAATAAGCGCACCCGAGTAGTCCAAAAGGACCTCCAGATCCGCCTCTTGTAGTCTGGCACCACACCTGACATACACCGATGTGATCTTCAACGAGACACCTCCCGCCATATTGACCACCACAGAAGCTGCTTCGATGCTATGCATCTCCGCATTAGTGCTTCTATAATAGTCTATACCGCGCTTTATCAACACTGCTAAACCGCCGCCTCGACCATTCAGTCTGTCACCTCGGATAATATCATAATTCGGCAGAGCTAAACGATCTCCCGGATTAAGCAACGTCTCCTGCAGCAAGGCCACATTTATACCTTCATCCAAAAGAGCTTGATGAAATTCCCGTTTTTTGGGAATATCCCTCATGCCCAAACAATTCCAAAAAAGAATTTTGATGAATGCAGGCTGTCTACTATTGTACCTAGACATTTACCGGAAATATCGCCTGCAACGCTTGGGTAGCGCTAATCAGTGGGCTTATTATTTGTTGGAAGGACCTTAGCGCGGTTGCCAGGTCCACATTTTGCGTGCTCAAGGGAGGTTGGGCAGAGGGGGCAGGCAAGGTTGCCTCCCGAGCTGCGTCCGCGTATGATATATTGCGCCTTTGCGCTATACCTTGCATGTTCCTCCTTGGAGTGAATTTGCAAGTCCGGCTATTTGCGGGATGTCCCTCTCCACAGTTCGCGCACTTGCGTTCTTCCTCTTCTGTGAGGGGGCACAAATGCGTCATGTGGTCCTTTGCACATTTTAAGCATTTGGGCGGTGCAGTGCAATATGACTGCGCATGCCCATACTTTTGGCAGCGGTGACACTGCCCAATGAGTCTGGAGTTTTTCTGAACGTCAACTCGAATGGCCAGTCCCAGCAGTTCGTGTTCGTTGAACACTTGCTGAGACTTTTCAGTCTTGGGCAGTATCACGACCACCAAAGGCATGGGCGCGCCGCCGCTGCGCTTCAATCGAATGATGTGAAGAGGGCTATATCCCCTCTGCTCCAGTTCTCCCTTAATCTCAGTATCCGAAAAATTGACGGGAACTCCTCGAACCACCGCATGGATGTTCCGTTCCGAAGAGAGAGGAAAAGTGTGATGGGGCACTTCTTCCTCTCGGAATAGGCGAACGATCTTACGGTAGTCGTCCTCGGATTTAGGAATAATCCTTATTCCCGCATCAACGGCAACCGCGCGATCTATTTTAATACCTAGGGAAATAAACTTGAAATTTAAAGTACGCCATCTCGTCCCGTCGCGTAAGACGATAGGGGTTATGCGCCCTTGTCGTGAGGGTTGTGTTGATGCCACGACGGTTGGACGAGATGACGGGGGAGAAGTAACATCGGCTGACGGAGTCACCTGAGAGGTAGATAACGTGGTCCCTGGCTTGGTAGTAGAAGCATTAATAGTGGTTCGATTTGATGAATTGGGGGAGGTGTGAAATGGGATTGATCCTGTATTCGGAAGAGGAGGAAAGTCTTGGGTTGATCGATCAGCCTTGTCGCCTTTCCTCCTTCTTGATTTTGCTTTTACAAATACTTCGGTCTGTATCATCTGTAACGTTTTTCAGTGGTCTTTTTAGGGTCTTTGTCTGTTCTTTAGGAGATTTTTTTGAATTTAGTAATATGGTTACCTGGGCGGTCAGGCTGTCAATTTTGGCTGTCTGGTCCTTGATGGTCTCCATTAGGTCTCGAATCTGCCTCGCCTGGTCGTCTATAATCAGCATCAGTTTTTCGTTCGTTTTCTGCTCCGATGACATCTGCGTCAGTGAGCTCATGTTTTCTGATTCTGCTTGGTTTCCGCCACCGCTCAGCTCTTTCCTCATAGTACGTGGAACTGCGTCGTCTGTTGATCCTCCTGGGTCAACTTCCATCTTTTAAAAAACTTTTTCTCGCCAACAAATCTCTGAAAACTTATAGCTCGCAAATGTGACAATCTTGTCAAAACCCTTCTTACAGGGCGTTTTTGTCGAAATGTATAGTAATGGCAACTAAAAGATCATCACAGAGTGTAAATTTTTCAGATTCCTGCGATTTGTTTTAAAACCTATAAGTTGAAGTTTCCGTTTAGTGGTATTATCTCATTTAGCAGAATATTAACAAATGATACTTTTGTTGCAGGTTATCCTCGATGTTCAACAGTTTGCCCCCAATGAAATCACTGTTAAGACGACTGGAAATAGCATAGTAGTTGAAGGAAAACACGAAGAAAAACAGGATGAACACGGTTTCATTTCAAGGCATTTCACCAGGAGGTAAATAATAATAATAATATCAATTCGATAAAAACTATAGTTGATTAACGTATTCTCCTGAAGTGACCGATAGCTCGTTCCTAGTTAACATTTGGCAGAGAAACCTACATAATGTTAAAAAACGACATAATGTCTCTTTTCAAGTTACGTAATACCCACGCCGTACGCAGTTACGAGGGTTGTTTCAAAAGTAGGGTTGCCACATTCTTCTCAGGCACAATGAATTTTCTTTTAGAAAAAACGAATTCACCATTGGACACGTTGATCTTTGATCTATTTATCTACATAGTCTTACATTCCTGCCTCAAGTTTCCCGCCCGTTTAGAAACCTGGTAACCGCTCCTTGCAATTCCTCGTCCGTCTCTCAGAGGCGACACCGTGTCAAAAATCAGGTTCTATCAACGCCAACTTGAATCCTATGCGCTTGGTGGAATTCCTGTTGCTGTGACATTTAGGGGATATTCGTGGAACGTTTTAACACGTGTCCAGAACAGTTTCAATCCTAGCCCACACTGACTTCTACTGTTGTTGGTGGTTATATTCAGTATAAAAAACACTTGCATGTGGGCAAATATAAACACAAATTTCTTGATAATGTAGTTTAACATATGACATTCGTAATTTCAGGCTAATAAAGCGTAATAGAACCCCTCGGGAAAATCTGGACACTCATGGAATTAAGCTGGAAATGTGATAAGCACCTGGGGAGACGAAGATCAAATGGACCGACAACAGGTGTCGCATCTGTTTAATCTGAGCCGGTACTGCGCGTCGCAAATAAGCGCTTCTTGTTGGGATCGGTGGTGGGGGCGCCGACAAATACGACAGTGTTGCCAGATTTCACTTAGCATCACGCGCGGCAAGATTACAGCGTTGAGAACCCTATTTTTGAAACAACCCTCGTACATTGTATCTCTGACGTAGCAAGTGTTAAATGTCCCGTGAAAATTGTTGAGTTGTTGAGACTCATACGGCTGGCTCGTATTTTGTGCGAAAGAGAAGCGTGAATGTCTTCTCTGGGGATTTATCCAGAATTCTGACAGCTGTTGACATTTGTCAAATAAGTTTAATCAAATTCAAGCGGATAACCAAATGGAAATGGTACTTACCATTTTGGGTTGGTATTTACCAATCCGTTCAAGCGAGTGTAGTTATCAGTTTGGTTATAAGATCCGTGACGTCACGAATCAGCTGTTATATGTCATAGTTATCACCGCAAAATTGTGGTATTTACCCAACTCAAGAGTAGTTTTATATTTCTGGTTATTATTTGAAATGTGACAGGTTAGAATTTTGTCGGGTATTGGATATTGTTATTCTACTTCAGTTTTACCATAAAGCACCTTATTAGTTATACTCATTACGGTTGTTGGGGACACTTTAAATGTAGTTCCTATGCTTAACAAAGTATCCTGTGTAGCCATATACCACAAGAATATTAAAATATGGCCATATAAACTCACTAGATGATATCCACCTGTATACGGTTTTGCTAATTTCATTTTTCATCATTTCTGCTGAATCAATAAATGTTTTCTTTGGCATGCGGAAAAATTTAGAGAATTGAAAGTTCTCATAGCTACAAAGCCATGGTTCCATCATTAAAAAAAAAATCTGAAAAAACATTTCTCCCATGAATATTATGAAAGGTTTCTTATTTAAACTTTCCATATACAGTTGTAGACCAAAAAGCACCGATTATTAAATGATAATAAAAATAATCAGAGATTATATACGCTCTTTTCTAAAATAAACAACTTGCAACAAAACCGCGGTTAAAACCAACACGTTCAAGCGATTCGTGTAACTGACGTCATCAACCCGTGTGTCATCTTGAACCATATTATAACCGCGGCACATAACACAGAAATGTTGGTTATTCGCTTGGATTTGATTTTTGTGATTGCATTCATTTTTGGCAAAACGTTCCTCGATTCTTCATATAATTAAGCGTTCCATCACGAAGTTACTTTTCTTTAGAGATGCTACTGTTGGACGACAACGAGACTTCCGCACCTCTTCAACCGAGAATCACTCGGGGAGCGATTGCGTTCTATCAGTGTTCAGGAATATTTCACAAACATACTTTTATCTTCAGGTATGTTCTGCCAGAAACACACGAAATCGAAGGAGTAGTATCATCCCTGTCGTCGGATGGAATCCTGACAGTAACCGCACCCAAGAAGGTAGATAAACCTACCAACCAGGAACGCGTCGTACCAATCACTCAAACTGGACCTGTCAAACCATCAGAAGCCACCTCGACCAACATCAAAATCGAACAACCACAAGCTAACTAGAACTGATATCTGACTGTTATTAATTTATTTTGTTATTTATAAAAACACGTTTATATGTTGATATGTTTTGAATAAAATTTAACGTTTCTCAATCGTGTATTTCTGCGTGTGAGTTCAGTGGTGTCATTGGCCCCTCTGATCCTAGAGTGGCTCATCGCCGGACTGACCATTAACCGTCACTAACCCACTTGCAATAAAGCAGCATTTAATTTAGATTTTTTAGTAGACTAAACCCGCGGCTCTGCTCGAGTGGGAGAGGTATAAAATTGCCATGAAGTCTGCTTTTTTAAAATTATTTGGGGGACCTTTGCCCATTAGTCACTGTCTAATGTACGTTAGTCGAATCTGTCAGTCCTGGTTGCCCAGAAACCAGACAACGTCAAGGAAAAAGAGAAAGAGAAGAAAAAACGAGAAGAGCAAATAAAAACAGAAGTGTTTAGTTTAATAGGAAACAACGAGGCTTTTTGACTTGGTACACGGATTAATTTTGAGGTGAACTAAACAAATTTTGATTCGGGTTTTAGAGTGTAATTTTGAGTTTACTAAAAGTTCGCGCTAATTTTTGATCACAGTGCGAGTCGTGGCCTTGATGTTTACGAACTTGCTCCACTGTGTAGTCCACTGAGTCGCGCAACAGAGGGTTGCTGTGCGATTCCGCTTGACTATAACGTCGCTGCGCCTGAGACTTGACATAATCCTTCTAGTAAGGAATGTCAAGGTTCTGTGCAGTGTCTCATTTGAGACATACCATGGAGCGTTGCAAATTGTTCGCAAAGTTCTGCTTTGCAGTACTTGAAGACTTTCCATGTGTATTTTGGCAAGAAAACACCAAGCCGCACATGCATAAGTAATGGTTGGTCTAATAATCATTTTATATAGTCGCTTTGCTTATCAAGCTCAATTTGGAGGATCTACATAACAAAGCATATAGCTGCCGAAACGCAATTTATAATTTTGTTTTCAAGGCTGCTGTATGTTTCTGCCAGGTCATGCCTTTATCAAGGGTGAGAGATACTTGCCAGAATTTGGATATGGTACACCATTTCCGTCTACAGAAACCTCTGCTGGGGGGCGCAACATTTTTTTGGTACAATAGCCTGCGTATTCGAATAATTAATTTCAATCAGCCACCATTCCACCCACTGTAGTACTTCGTCCACCGCACTTCAGTTCACAATTGCTGGGGCAAGGGACATCATGGATAAAAAGCAAATAAAGGATTGGTCCTAGGACCGAGCCCTGAGGAACACCGGCCCGTACTGGCCGTGTTGTTGACAAAACGTTGTTAATTTTGATCCGAAACTTCCTTCCTTCAATAAAGGATTTCAGTAATTTTAGAAGCCAAAAAGGGAACCCCTTTTTGGATTCGTTTATAGAGGAGGCCCGCATGCCACACCTTGTCAAAGGCTTTTGAGACATCCAAAAGCAAGATGCCAGAACTCGTGCTGAGGGTGAACCCTCTGGTTACATGAAAATACTCTTTGATTTAAAATCTCAAGCTTTACAACAAATTGCTATAAAAACGGGGGGTTGCTATTTGAATTACAATCCTGATCTCCTAATAACTTCCAAGCGATTTATCTAGATAATACCATTTTTAAAATGTTACTAAATGATACATAGTATGCAGCATTCGGATATTTATTTGTCAAAAATGAAAAACCATATATGTGCGATTAGAATTTATTTGTTATAAAATGGAATATAAATCATTCAATATAAATATATCAAATCACATTAGCAGATGCTTCAAGCTTCGATGTGCAAATCTTTTGAAACTGTATATGCTGAAACGTGCATCATGTTAGCCCTATTGAGTTTGAAGTTTTCTATCGCTCTCTGTCTCGTATCTTCCCAGTTGTACAGTTCTCTGTATAAAGGCCTCACAAACTTCATTCTTCCAACTATGTTCACCCATGACAGAGCTGTGTCCACTTTATCTTCCCAGTGGGCTTTCAGGCAAATCTTCAACCACCTGAGGAATGAAAATAACATGAAGAAAACTACGTGGCCGAACTTAACAATAATAATTAAAATAGAGCAACCTACTGCAGAAATTGAGTGTCTTAGGCCCCTATCGTGAGTTGTTCCTACAATTGTAGGAAGCCTTTATGGCCTTGATTGTCATAGTTTTCTAATTCTACTTTTCCGTGTCAACGCTCTGTTTTAAGCTTATGTCACAAATATCTATTTGCATCAAATTGTGCATGTTTTTGATTTGTATCATGTTTTACCAGCCTGAAATTTCCTACAATTTAAAAATAGTACAGCGCTGACGCTGACACAGAACAGGTGCAATCTAAAAATTTTTGAAGCAGAGAAAGGAGTATGACAATCAAGGAGGCCATAAAAACGTCCTACAAATGTAGAACGCCTTTATGGCCTACTTGATTTTCATGGTCTTTTCTATCCTTCTGAAAGGCTGGGACATTTCTAGAGTTCTACTATTCCGTGTCAGCGTTAACGCTGTCTTATTGTGAGGCTATGTTTTCGTTTTGAATCGAAGGAAATTTCAGGCTGTATAACAGATAATATAAATCAAAATCTTGAACAATTTGATGCAAATGGAAATTTGTAACATAACCTCAAAATAGAGCGTTGACACGGAACACTAGAAAACCATGAAAATCAAGTAGGCTATGAAGGCGTCCTACAATTGCAGGGCGCGTTTAGGGCCTCCTTGATTGTCATACTTTTTTCTCTCCTTCAAAAATTTCTAGATTGCACCTGTTCTGTGTCAGCGTCAGCGCTCTCCTATTGTGAAGATATGTTTTCTTTTTAAATTGTAGGCAATTTCAGGCTGATAAAACATGATATAAATACCAAGCATGCACAATTTGATGCAAGTAGATATTTGTGACATAACCTCAAAATAGAGCGCTGACACGGAACAGTAGAAAACCATGAAAATCAAGTAGGCTATAAAGGCGTCCTACAATATTGTAGGAACGACTACCGATACGAGCCTAAAATATGAATACGTGATACCAGTAGACCATGGAGGCTTACAGAGTGTTTCAAATTCGACCGTCACCATTGGGATCTCGGAACTGTAAGAGATTCGAAATCGCTTAAGTTAAGTTGCGTATTTAGGTAATCAACAAAATGCCGATTAGTAAGTTTCGAAATTCGAAGTACTTCCGGAGAGAGACGGAAAAAACTGAATTCTCCCAAAAACATTTCAATTTTTTCCTGACTTTATTTTACTGGGTTGCTAAACAAGTGTACCGACCTTAGTGAGAAGTATGTAAAAAATGATAAATGAAATGCAAATGGGTGGATGGTTATGTGGACCATAGAGGTCAAACCCGTACCTGAATTTTATTTCGGAATTTTTAATCCCATCAAGTCCAAACAATTCATCCAAAGCTTTCAGTTTTTCCAAGCTTTGCGGTTCAGCTACAGAAAGAGCTTGCAAGAAATAGATTTTCTGTGCAGAGCTCATCTGATCTCTTTCGCTGGTGGTAATTGGAATCTGACCCTCTCCATTCCATTTGAGGAACTTTTCCAGAAGCTCATCACAAAAAACAGCCAAAGATTTGTCGTAATCGGGAATGACAGGAGGCATTCCCGGCGTGTACAACCAAGCCTCCCAATCTATTGAAGAAATGTTAGCATTTTCGCTGAAGTGCCTTTCGAAATAGTTCTTGAAGTCGTTCGTGTCGATAGATTTGTATTTGTAAGTTTCAAAGTATTTTCGTAAGAAGGGTTCGAAGACATCTGGAAAAATACAGTCAAGTTAAACTCTTTTCCCTTCTGTAGGGATCAAAATACCCTTTAGATAGATTGTATTACCTGACCCTCCAACCACGTTTTCCAGATATCTGAGAAATGTTTGACCTTTTTCGTAAGGTACCTGTGAAAAAGCATCGTCTGGATGTACCCCTTTCAAATTTACAACTAACTGTGTTAACTGATTATCTTTTCCAATCTGTTCGACCTGAAAACATCCAAAATATACTATATTATGGCTAATTCACAAATCGTTTCAGTGACTTTGTCGACAAACCGTGTTTAAATTCAGGATTCGACAATTGTACTTGAAAAATGCCACCCTTGTCGCCGAAACGTCGTTAGTAAAAACTAATCCATTCATCGGCCAGATGATCGTGAAATCTCATGAGCATGAAAGCTACATGATAAGTGTAGGCAAAATAAAGTTATGAGAATAATACTGAATAAAAATAAGTAAATCAAAATGAAATCTATGTTGCAAGAATTGCAGTGGTTGAATATAAAATATTCCATTTCATATTTGGTACTTATTATTATATTTAAAACAAAAAAATCATCTTTTGTCACAACATTTAGCACACTACAGAGAATTGAATAATCATTACCATAATTATTATACAAGAGGAAATACAGAATTTCATTTTTAAAATTGCAATAGTAATATAACTAATAAATCAATATTTCAGAAAGTATTACCTGAGTTTAATAAACTAAATAATGATACAAAGTCTACTTGAAATTTGGAGATGTTAAAAAGAAAATTAACGGAATATTTCGTGGATAGTGAAAATTCTTAGATACAAATATCTGTATGTTATATAATTGTTGTAGTTTTTAAAAAGGATGTAATTGTAGCAATCATGCTAAATAAATCTTAAACTTAAATATACCAACCGTTTCTTTCAGTTCACTGACATGCGAGTAAGCATCTAAATCTTGACTCTGCGGTGATTCTAACCTTCCTTTAATTTTTCGCTCAACAAAAACTGTGAACCCTTCATTCAACCAGAAGTGCTCAAAATTTCGATTTGTTACTAGATTACCAGTCCAACTGTGAGCTATTTCGTGAGCTACCACATTTGCTAACGATCTATCGCCTGCCTATATGAAAATAAAAAAATCAAATGTGGCAACAACATGCAAACATTCAATAGAATATTAACAACACATATGACTATAGTACATCCATAATTAAGCAAACTTTGACAATAACGAATTACAGAAGACGCTCGATAACGTAAACACGGGATAATGAAAACTTGCGCTAATTTAAACACAAACTTCGTTCTATAGGATCAAACGGAACGCGCGATAACGTAAACAATGTGTACGCTCGATAACGTAAACAACTCTCGGCGCAAGAAACAGCGCGACGGTAAAATGCTGAAGCCTCGATGATTTATGTCGGGCGTCGGGGAGTCCCCGATTTATGATGTAGAGTGTAGGGGATTCACCTCTGCGATAAAATACGACAAACTCGGTCAGTCGTATGATCGTTTAGGATACGTTTATACGTACGTATTTATTTCATTTTTGAACTTAAGTGAATACATTGCACGCGTTAATATATTTTACGACTATGGCATCCACATCCTATAAAAGAAAGTGTTTAAAGTTGAGTGAGAAAGTGAAAATCATAGACGAAGTTGCACTAGGTGCGGGAGTGACACAGTTAGCAAAAAAATATGGAGTATCGAAAGCAACAATCTATAAAATTAAGCGTATGAAAACTTAAATTTTACAAAGAACGTGCAATACATTTGGAGGTCCGGGAAAAAGAAAAACTTTAAAAAATGCGAAGGCACCTAAAATGGAAAATTCCCTGTATAAGTGGTTTTTAAAACAACGGGAAAATCATGCCCCAGTTAGTGGCGAAGTACTTAAACAGAGAGCGAGACTGTTAAATGAAAAACTGAAAGAAACGTAGCTAGTGATGGCTGGCTACAACGATTCAAAACAAGATTTGGAATTCGACTGCTGTCTATATCTGGTGAAAAATTATCAGCACAACCACAATTAGTGCAACCATTCAAAGAAAAATTGATGAAAACAATTACCGAGCTAGATTTAAGGATGGAACAAATTTACAACGCAGATGAAAGTGGCCTTTATTGGAACATGTTACCAGAGAAAACCTATGCTGCATCATTTGAAAAATCTGCCCCGGGAAGAAAGCCGGAGAAATAAAGAATAACGTTAACTGGTAATTGGGAAAGCAAAAAATCCGCGCTCATTTAAAAATGTTAATATCCCTGTTGATTATGACTGTTCAAAAACCCTCAGGTATGACAATCAATTATCACAAATGCTCTATTCATAATTTGAAGATGTGTTTTCAATTTGTAGGTAAAAGGTTTCCTAAAACAACAGAAGCTTCCAATAAAAGCGTTGTTACTATTGGATAATGCACCAAGTCATCCTCCCGAGCAACAACTGAGGAGCAGGGATGGGTCAATTTTCGTCATGTACATGCCGCCCAACGTAACACCGTTAATTCAACCGATGGACCAGAATATAATAAGACTCACCAAACTATACTATAGGAAGTTTCTACTTTCGTCTGTCTTATCAAAGAATCCTGAAAACTTATCTGAGGCTTCAAAAAAAGTAACATTACGAGAAGCTGTTTTAGATTTACATATGGCCTGGAATGAACTTAACCAGCAAACTATTCAAAAATGTTGGAACAATCTCTTTGGTACCAATAGTGAAGATGATGAAGAAGACGATGTCCCCTTAAGCGTAATTAGAGAACGTTTGCGATCCAATAATGATAATGTTATTAGTGTGTTATTGGATGTTGTTGATTTATTGAAAACAGTGAATCCCAACATTGTTTGTACTCCTGCTGATATTAATTTATGGAACGAAGATAAGCAGACGAATGATGCTGATAAGGAGGAGGATATGGACAGTGAGGATGATGAGAACGATCCCATTGAAGTCAGAAGTGTAGTGACTGACGCGCAAGCTATACAAGTTTTTAACCAACCTTTAGATTGGGCTGAAAGAAAAGAAGTTTCATACACGGATATTTTAGTTCTTCGTAAATTACGGGCGCAGGCATTGGAAGACAATGCTAAGCGCAAATTTACGCAGACAAAAATTGTTAATTATTTTTCTTCTAATTAAAAAAATACTTATCGCTGTTAGAATATTTGTTTATTTTGTTATAAATAGTATGTATTAAACGTTTCTTTTAATAAATCAAATATTATATAAATCACGTTCGCTAATGTAAACATTTCGATAATGTGAACCACACTTGGATTAAATTAGTTTACATTATCGAGCGTCTGCTGTATTATGTGGGATCCGAGGAAATTTGTAAGGTAAGGAGACGCGAAAATAGAAAGAATACAAGTGATATGAACATTATGATTTTGGTGATTTGTATATCCAATAAATCTAATTCTATAGGGTGAGGCAGCATAACTCCCTTCTTTAAAATGTGCGTCATTCATTCAGTTGATGCCGTAGCGGAGTGCTAGTGATCTCGTTCGAGAGGCAGACCTATTCAGTTTTGTCCCGACACAGTTCAGTCGCCATCATGCGTTGGAACAGTAAGGAGCATGTCACTGCGATCAGACAAACTGCAAGTGCGACAAGACGAAAAACTGGAGTCCTTGGCCCATTAGATCACCTGAAAACATGCACTGAGAGCTTCAATTCTGCGCTCAAGTATGCGTCTGCCCTTGGACTTTCCGATCGTTCTGTGAAGATAATTCTTCATGATGGTCTCCATTTCCATCCTTACAAGATGGCAATTGCGCAGGAACTTTCTGAACGTGACTTCAATTCTCGGATTTTCTTCTTTTTTTTTTGTAATGAAGCTCATTTTTATTTGTGTGGATCCGTCAACAAGCAAAACATGCGATAATTGGGCTAACACCAACCCTTAAGAATTGCATCAAAGGCCTTTGCATTCACCTAAATTTACAGTGTGGTGTGCAATTTCCTCTGCTGGAATTATTGGTTCCTGATTCTTTTAGGAACATGAAGTCGCAGTAACAGTGCATTGGAACCAGTATGTAAACATGTTTCAGGGTTTTTTCCACGGCTAAATGAGTTGGACTCAGGGGACATCTGGTTCCAACAAGACAGTGCAACGACAGACGCTTCAAGCGCATAGATGGCTGTTTTGTGTTACTAGAGCGCCTCAGTTAAACTAGGGACGTGTGAACCGTCCAAAGATCGTACAAGATTTGAAGATCAACATCCAGGAAGAAATTGTCAACATTACGCCTGTTATGCTGACAAAAGAGTCATGACAAAATCCAGAAATCGGTTTAATCATAGTATGGAGAATGTTGGGCGTCACAAATCTGATTTGATCTTCAAAACCATCTAAACCAAAACTTTAACCATGCGCTTACATTACAAAAAACAAATAATTTTTCTCTGATTCATACAATGGGCGTTATTAGGTTTTTAAAAAGTTATGCTGCCTCACCCTGTATTTTACAAAGTGGCAGTTAAATGAAACAAAACTGACTATTACTAACCAGCAAAGTTGGTGTTACAAATGTCAAACAAGGGTTCTCCATCCCACCGAATGGAAAACTTGGAGGCAACACCAGCAAATCATAGATTCCCCATTCATAAGGACCACATATTGCCTCAGCAGTTTCCAACTGCTTTTCAGTTTCGGCAAATTCATAAGCGCATTCTTCAATGATTTCTTTTTCAGCCCAAACATGGGTCCTGTCAGATCAAAAAAAATACAGTATTGAAACTCGACTTGTTCCCATCATTTTTTTTTTAAATCTTGGTTTTTTTACATTTTTGAAATTATTTTCTGAAATGTTTCCCATCAAAAAGATAAGAATTTCAGTCTTTCTGAATATGACAATATGTCTGATTGAACTAAATTGTTACTTCTGAATTACATTTACCTGGCACCTAATGTTCTTGATTCTAATACACCAACAGCCAATGCAATGAGGTATGAAGGTACTGGAACATTTTGAACAAAGTGAGAAAGTTTTCCACCATGGAGAGTCTTGGATCCATTGCATATAGCTGACATCAACACAGTATATTCTGGTGGGGCAGAGATCTAAAATACAAACATTTCACAAATATTCTAATTGCTCTCTGTATAAAACTAAAATAACCCAGCCAAGTACTCAGTAGTCGATCAAGATTAATTACACAGTACTCAGCATTTTGAAAAAAATTGTCACAGTGCATCCCTAAGAAACAGCAACACATCAGTAATGTTAGGCAACACAGGATGCTGCTGTTGTTGAATCTTAAATCTATATATTTGAAACATTCCAAGACTTACTGTGGCACTGTATTTAGTCTTCACCGCAGGTGTATCTTGACATGGAATTACTGATCTAGCATGGGTGGGCTAAAAATAAAAGTTTACTTGTAGCTACATTATTAAATTGAATTAAAAAGGGAGATGCCAATGTACTTACTTCAAAGTGAGTAAACATGAACGGGTGTTTTTTCCCAGCTGTAGCTCTAGGTTGCAACCATTGCAGGCCACTTGCTGATGGATCTGTATCATACTTTATTCCTATTTTATAACTGAAAATATTTATGACATGCTATTCCTATGTTTATAATAAAATATGTAGTAGTCATAAATATACTAAGTGACATATAAATCCGAACACCCAGTTTAAATGGTTTTATTTTAATAAAATTTTGTTATAAGTACTTAATGAAGCATAATAAGTAAATGATAAAAATTTCAAAATGATTGCACTGCTTTAAAGCCCTTTGACCTTTAATAATGTGTGGATGCACCCTGATGTGCTACGCATTCTCCAACGCGCCTAGGCATGCTTCTGATCAGGTGGTCAATGTCCTCCTGTGGTATCTCATTCCAGGCAACCACCAACTCCTCTCGAAGTGCTTCTAGAGTCTGAGGAGGACATTGCAAATTAAGCAATCTCCTACCCATCATATCCCACACGTGCTCAATTGGGGATAAGTCGGGAGCTCTTGGTGGCCATGGTAACAATGTGACATCATTATGTTGAAAGAAATCTATTGTGACTCTTGCAACATGTGGTCGGACATTATCTTGTTGGAAAGTTGGATCTGCCAGGGTGTCAAGATAGGGTAAAAGATGGGGTTCTAGAACTTCGTGGATACAACGCTGCGCGTTCATGTTACCTCTGATGTAGATTAAAGGTGACCTGGAACCATAAGCTATAGCACCCCAAACCATAACTCCAACAGTGTGATGAACATGTCTTTCAACAAAAAACTGTGGATTTCTCCTTTCACCACGTCGCCTTCTAACCCTGGCACGACCATCGTGCATGTCTAAACAAAATCGAGACTCGTCACTAAAGACAATACTGTTCCATTCCTGATCCCAGAGTGACCGTTGTCTGCACCACTCAAGGCGATTACGTTGGTGTTCTCGAGTTAAAGGGTGGCCGGTATGAAAACAAGCCAAAACTTCTCATTCGTCGGTAAACACTTCGCATGCCAATAGGTCTTCTGTGTTCTGCAAACCATTCATTTGCAATGGACCTGGTACTGGAGAAACGGTCCCTTAAGGCCAATAATCTTAGGCGGCGATCTTCACGGTCTGTTGTTCTACGGCGGCGTCCAGTGCCCCTTGCTCTTTGCGTACGGCCTTCTCGAAGCCATGCCTGACAACACCTAATCACAGTGTCTACACTTCTTTGCCCGAAAAGAAAGTCCAGCTTCCCGAAGTCCCACTATACGGCCCCTATCAAACTCACTAAGTTGACGAAATTGTACAGGTCTCCATACTCTAGGCATCGTAACCGATCGTAAAGGATGTCAAGAACCAAAATCCGCCAACGTTGATTCTTTACTGCGGCTGAAATATTCAATTTAAAACATTAGTGAATTAAAAAAAAGCAGTATAAAAACCTGAATGTCCAACTGATAAGGCTGACAATTTTTTCACTTGTTATTTACAGTAAGATAAATACATTCACTAACTTTTATTAAAATAAAACCATTTAAACTGGGTGTTCAGATTTATATGTCACTTAGTATAGTTTTTATTTTAAGTAGGCTCAGGCAAATTAAGAAGCAGAACTTTTTTAAGGTAGGTAGTCTAGAATAGTATGGAGAGATTCCTTATTCTGGTTCCTACTGCAGATTGAAAAGTTTGTAACTGCTGCTACTTCTTTGTACAGCTATCCTCAGCCAGCTATGAGAGCTGGAAACTTTTTGGAATGTTACCCTCACTTTTGAAGAAAGATACTTTTAATTGAGTGATAAAAATATTACATGATATATTTTAATGTCCTTTGTGACATTTTAGTTAGGGATATTGAAGGGTCATGTGATGCCTCATCAATACTTAGTAGGAACTAGAGTATAAGTTTACCATCACTAAAGTGGGGACCTTTTTGAAAAGTATTATTATATATTTAAGAAATAATTATCGCTCTAAATTGTGGCTAATTATCAAAAACCAGTCATTGCATACAACATTTTACCTGTTTGATTCCTTGTCAGGAAGTTGTATAGTTAGTTTTGAACCATATTCTGGGATCTCTTCACCAATCTTATATTCCAATTTTTCTTCATTTTCTGCATCATATATTGATGAAATATTGAGTTTCAACGTATCCAATACCTGAATAAATGTTTACAATAAACTTTTCAGTATATTTTCATATAGGATGGGGTTACTTACAAGCTCTTTAGCAGAATCATCAGTTTTATTCACATCTAAAGTAACATATCCAGCTAGAACTTTTGTATGGAAGTTTACATTCAAGTTGATAAAGATATTTGTGACAACGACCAACTCTGAAAGTAGGGAATTTTCAAAATGTCTTATAAAAAGTTTTAAGTGTGATAAATACCTGGTCTGGCAAATGAACTGGGATCCAAAGGGCTGAGACCGCTTTTCTCCATTCTAACAAATTGTTTTTGCTGTAAGTCAATTTTAAAAATTTTACTGAAGGTGCTTCTCTTGCGTAATAACGAAAAGATCATCCGTTTTTTCTTCCACAATACTTTATCAGAAAGTACTTAAGAATTATCGAAAAAATACTCAAGTGCAATGATTTAAATGTAGGTGTGTTCGAGAGGAAAATTAAAAATAAGAATATAACCCTCAAAACGTCAGTCTGATTTCTGACAGTTCATCACGGGGAAAATGTAAACACAACACAGCCTTCGATACAGAACGAGCTGATCTTTTTAGCCTAGTGAATAAAAGTTTTTTTGGTCGGAAAAGTTGAATAGCTTGGTGGGCCGTTCCTGTCCAAGGCGTGAGATTCTCCAGCAATTGTACCGTAAAATCTGCATATTTAGTATAATTTTGTTTGCAATTTTGGGGATTTTAGGATTTCCCTCTCCGGAAAAATTGACTAATTCCGTTCTTCAAAAAGTGTGGAGGGCAGGTACAATTTGAGAAAAAGTTATGATCACCCTTCCTCTGAGAAAAATGCCTGCGAGCGCCAATTATGCTCCTCAAACGGCCGCTGTACATCGCACACGGTAATACTTGGAGCATGTCGCCATGATGAGAAGCGCTCCGCTAAGTTTTCATTCCAAATGTAAGGTGATTATATTAAGACAATAAGTTGTTTACGTCGTACAATTACATTCGTAACTATTGTTTTTTCACGAGTATCTATTATGGTAGAATAGCATTTGATTATCTAGTAATATTTCAAAATTCCCCATATCCACAAATGACACATAATTCTGAGATCCGTCAACGCCAGGTAGAGAGAACCGTATTTTGTTTTGTATTTTGTACGCTACAGATTCATTTTCTCATTCTTTTATTAAGAAAAGTCCATTTTCATGCAAAAAACGTTACAAGCAAGTTTTAGTGATTTATACCGGACTTACTATTGCCAACGTTACTAACTAATACTTAGATGTCAATTGCTGAAAAGCTGTTCATCTCGGTAGTTGTCAAAACGTGATGGATAGGTACTAGTAAAATTTGTGACGATCCAGACCTTCCATCTCAACCTAAGATGGACCGATCCGGAATCGTTCCTTAACAGTTTCAACACAATTCACTATTAAAAAATATGTAAGCTCAAAAAAACCATTATTTGAGCGTAGAGAAGAAACTAACGCATATTTTCAGCATGCATCCCAGTTCAAGGAATTAGTGTAACATATATTAGCAAATTGCCGCACCAGCGTTGCGAGGCAACGTGGTTATTAACATCGTTATCCAACTGGCTTCTATCTCCTTCTAACGTATGTGTTTATACACACTTCTTTCTCGTATACATCGAACTCAGCCATCAGAGAAATTTGGCTCTCGGCGTATATGCACAACCTAGAAAGTAAGAACATAATTTATGTTGTTGGTTCCTTGGTCCTCGCTATTAGTTGAATGTCAGCAGCAATCCTCTCGTCGAGCGTAACTTCCAGCTATCTACCACACTACACTACACCACAAGAATAACGTGCTTCATTTTTACAGACCGAAAAACCAGGTTGATTTTACTAAATGTTGGTGTCACAGGCTCTAAGTATAAGCAACCTGTACCGCAATCCAGGCATAGGGTATAACGTCACTGCCATATTTTCTTATCGACTAGACTATATCAACTGACTCGTTCCTCGTGCCAGCTTCCTGAAGTTTCGTTCCGTACCGAGAGATGTATCGGATCATAACCTCTTTTACTTGAACATTTGAATTCAAATTAAAAAATTTCACTTTTTTCTTGCCAGCTAAGGCAGTTTATTGCATTGTCCAAAATCTATGGATTCACTGTTTTCAAATGTGCGAAAATAACGTACAGCTGCCGTCACACGATATTTCCGAAATCGAGAAAACATGGGCTAAAGTTGAACGTGTATCAAAACAGGTATGTTTTTCAGATTCACTCAAACACAAGAAATAAACGAACATGTTTGATTGCAGACAGGCATGCGAGACGGCTTATCCGATGGCAGAGATACTGCATTTCAATCGTCCTTCGACACTGGATTTAAAGAGGGCTTCAAAAATGGTTTCCAACTTGGAAAACTTAAAGGAATTGCCATGTAAGTCGTAGAATGATCCATTCGAGTAAAGTTAATGTTCAGTTTACTCGACAATAAAAACAATCAATTATGCTCTCTGTTAATAACATGCAACAATACTAAGTAAAAAAACTTCTGCAGTATAGAAGGTCAAGATAGTGCTTTGATAGTGGCTTACTAACACAAAAAAGTGTTCGTATTCAGAACTTTGAAAAGCACATGATGTAGCGTTTTGGCATTCACAAACAATACTGTAAATGGCAACCTCAAGCTTAGTTGACATTTAAGTTATTGCCGGTTACTTAATGATGCTATACAAAATAAGTAAACAGGTTAAGTATTAGTACCATCTTCTTAGGAATAATTGCACATTATGCAAACCGACATGAATAGGGTGATAGAGAATCATTATTTTCACTCATGTGCTGAAAATATTTCTAATACTGTCAACATTGTAGTACACAAATGTCCACACATAGAGGCTGATTTCATACATATAATTGAATAATTCGGTGTGACCCACCAAAAACTGTGAAAAGACTTACCAGTGTTATTTGTGATTACCCCTATAGTGTGATACACAATTTTTTTTGGCTAATGGCACTCTTCTTATACGAGCCCCTTCCCACTTCAGTTGGCCCAACTATTGAAATCTTAGTTTTTTTCTTATCAAACACAAATAATAAAAATGTAGCAGGGTGTTATAGGTTTAAAATATTAACAATGAATATTTTGATAATATATAGTAGAAAACACCAACTTTATCACTCCCTAATCAAATTTACAGCATAAAAATAACACATGTTGCAATTGAAGGGGTTAGAGCAAAAAGGGTATAAGTGACATTTTTTAATTTTTGTGTTTATGTATGTAAAGTGAAACTTAAGAGTGTATTTTATCAGTGCAAAACTGGTATAACTACCGTTTGCCACTACTAGGGCCATCTGTGGGTAATCAAATATACTCACTTAGTAATTCGACATTAGTCTAGAGGGCAGAATAGGTATAAGTGCACTTGTATCGTTTCTGCGCTGAGTTATTATGATTTCTTGTGACTGGTAAACATGTAGTAGTTTTTTGGTGTGCAACAGTTTTGGGTGTTTTGACGTATTTCTTCAAAGGACAAAGTTTTTGAAGTAGTGTGCTTTGGTTTGTGGGTTGTTTATAGTCTTTTTTTGAGATGGCTGCGACCATGGACAAAGGTAAGAGTGGAAAAACGGATAAATAAGTTTTTTTGCATTATTATTTTAATTTTTTAGATAACAACGACTCTGAACCAGATCCCTAGGATACTGATGAAGGCGATGATTATGTTCCTGATGATCAATCTGATTCAAGTGAGAATGATGAGACTGAGCACGTTACACCAAGAAAAACAAAAAAGCGTAGAAAAAACATCGCTTTGTGGAAAAGGAATGAAAAAAAGAGACTCAGAACAGCAGGAAAGATGTATGAAGGGCACAAAGGGAAAATTCGTCCAGAGAGGAACCTTAGAACTTTCGTCCATACATGCAGGTATAGCTGTAGCAAAATGACCGGGGCAGAAAGGCAAACCTTTTTTGATAAATTTTATAACATACCTACATATGACCTGCAAACAGCATTTTTAGCTTCTTGCATACAAAAATGCGAAGTTGTTAGACGAAGCCAAAGAGCAGAATGTAACCGTAGGTTTTCTACCAAAATTATGGTCTCAAATATGCGAGTTTGCAAAGCATTTTTCCTCAAAACGCTTGATATAAGCAATAGACGATTGACTACAGTATGCGCGAAAGTAGACAGATTCGGTATATGTGGAACAGATCAGAGAGGAAAAACTTCAAGTGCAAACAAAATGAATGAAAACATTCGAAATGTGGTTATTCAACACATAAAAATGTTTCCTAAATATAAAAGTCATTATTCCCGGAAAGACAATGTTAACACTCGTTACCTGTCATCAGATCTTAATATAACAAAGATGTTTTTTTTGTATAAAGAATACTGCAATGTCAATCAGAAACCACTCGTCAAGTTATTTTACTACCGTCACATATTCAACACAGAATTTAACCTTCGATTTCATAAGCCCCATAGTGATACATGCTCAAAATGCGACAAGCTGAACAATATCATCAAAAACTCAAATAATGAAAACAAGGTGAGTATTTCCAAAGTGAGCTTAGAGTTGCATCAGAGGAAAGCTCAAAAAGCATGAGAAATTGAAAAAGATGGACGCTGAAAATAGTAAAGCCTTAGACGATACCATCGCAATTTGCTTTGATCTTCAACAGACATTACCAACGCCTTTGCTCACTACTTCAAAAGTTTTCTACCTTCGACAGCTCTGGACTTACAACTTCTGCATACATAATCTGGGTACTGGAGAAGCTCGCATGTACACATGGGATGAAACTGTTTCTGGTAGAGGTTCCCAAGAAATAGGATCATGCTTGCTGCATTTTTTCAAGTCACTTCCATCAAATATCACAAAAATAATAGCCTACAGTGACTCATGTGGCGGGCAAAATAAAAATAAGAATATTTGCAAACTGTTTATGTTTGCAATAAAGGCCACCCATATTAAAGAAATTCACCACAAATTCCTGGAGCCAGGTCACACTTATATGGAATGTGACCGAGATTTCGCACTTATAGAGAAGAATAAAAAAAAGATTCCTCAAGTTTTTATTCCAAGCCACTGGAGGGAAGTAATTGCAGCTTCAAACAAAAAATTTATGATTCACAACATGACCAGAGAAATGTTTTTCTCTTTTGAAAAACTGAATCAAAAATAGTGAAAGATCCTAAGAAAGATGTAGACGGAAAGCCGATAAAATTCAAAGAAATTGCGTATTTTAAATATGATAAAAGCAATGAGGCATTTTCGTTTGAATTCAAACCAGTCTTAAATGCTTCATATCTATTCATAAAATGTGTTTCTGGGTCGCGTGCCTCTGGGCGACCATCATACTCGCTACAAAACTCATTCACACCACTTCACGGTACCTCAGTTCCGATAAAAACAGAAAAATGGAAAAATCTGCAGACCCTTTTGGATTATATACCTCCAGTTTATCATGAGTTTTATAAAAACATGAAACATGAAGATTTAAAAAAAAGGACTAACGAAAAAAAATATGCCTGTACCAGCCATGGAATCTGGTCCTAGTTCTCGCGCAGAGCCCGTATTCATCGTTGAAGAGGAAGATGAAGATGACGAGGAGCTGTTATCCGACTACGACGAATGATTAAAAACTATGATTGACAAGTATTGTTTAAATCAGTAAATAAAACTCGCATCACTTTTTTGTCTTATTGTGAGTCGATTAAGATTGAATTGGTATCTTGGTGCAAAACCGGTACAAGTGCTTCAAAATCACTTTTTTTTATGAACAAATTTTTTTTATACTTTGCTGGTTCACCAAACATTTCAATGATATTTAGGATTCTATTCCATTTGTCTAGATACATTTATGTTATTTGCAGAATTTTAAAATAGCAAAAATCTTTAGAAGCATTTTTCTCAGAAGTAACGCAGATGCACTTACACCTTTTTTGCTCCAAGCCCTTCAATTACAGAATATCAACCTATTTTCATTTCAATGCAAAATAAGTCTATAATGCATAGGTGGCTGTGAAAAATAAAAGCCATGACAATTGTGTTTATTAATCACAGCTGTCAGAATATGTTTAAAATAGTTTTGGGTAGTTAAGGTTTTCAAAATGGGTATAGGAAAGGTTATTAGTGAGAAAATTCGGTTACTGAGAATTAAATTTTTTAATTCTGGGAAATCAAACTCAAAAATTGCAACTTTGTTAGACTTATCGTGGTACAGTGTGAGAAATATTGTTAGAAGATATACCGTAACTGGTTCAGTTAATATTAAGCCATGATATGTGAAAAAAAAGTAATATCACAAATGCCGACCGAAGAGCATTAAGAAGAATAATAATAAAAAACAGGCGTGCCAATTATTTACAATTAAGTGCTTTGTGGAGTGACGCTGCTTTAAGGAGAATTTCGAGGTCCAGAACTCATAGAGAGGCCCACAAACTGGGATTTAGCACTTGCAAGGTAAGTTTTCTTATAAAAGAAAGTGAAGTAAAAACCCTAAAGTTGCACAACTTGTTTATAGGCCAAAGAAAATCCACTATTAACTTCACTGCAAAAGAAAAATCGGCTTACATGGACTAAAAAACATAGACAATGGACACCTCAACAATGGTGTGCAATACAATGGAGTGATGAGGCCCGATTCAAAGTTTGTGTTGGTGACAGTCGCAGTAGAGTTATTCACAAAAAAAATGAAGCATTCCATGTTAACTGTCTGAAGAGAAAAGTGAAATTTCCAGCATCCATTATGGTCTGGGGCAGTATGTCATCAAAAGGAGTAGGAAAACTTCATTTTATTGATGGCCAAGATTTTGTGTTTCAGCAAGAGGGTGCAGCGTGCCATAACTCAAAAAAGACTAGAAAATGGATGGAAGAAAATAATGTACCACTTTTGAAATGGGTTTCTAGCAGTCCAGATTTGTCACCTATTGAAACTTTGTGGCACGCAATGAAAAAGGTTCTACAACAACATCCTGCTCGTACAATCACCGAACTGAGACAAAAGCTTCAAGAAATATGGGATTGTTTTACACCAAATTTTCGCCAAAACTTGGTTAACACTATGAACTAAAGAATTTCAGCTGTAATAAAAAATAAAGGTTACCCAATGGTAATCTTTCAATTATTGTTGCTTTGTTGTTCTATTAGTTATAGGTCTAAGTGATTTCAAATATGTATTTTTTACGACTAGGGTGTATCTAAAATGTTTTTGAGAAAATAAATTGTTTTAGAAGTAAATAGTTTCATCATGTTTAGTTTATAAACGCATATTTTGGTACAAATCTTGAAGTGGACCAACTGAAGTGGGAAGGAGCTTGTAAATGTTGTCCACCTATGCTTTATATACTGGTAAAATTTTACATTAAGGGTCATAGCAATCTCAATGGTTATTACTCATTTATAAATAAATTTAGCCAGCTATAGATCAGGTCTTACTCTTGCCAAATCTGTCTTATAACGAATTTATACAATGTTTGCGAAAATTGTTATATAAATATGTGTATAATATCTAAAATATTTACATTACTTATCAGGAGCCCACAACAGATTAAAAGGTACAGCTTCTCTGCCATCATTTTTGCAAATACAGTGGAACTACACACTACGTAATAAACACAGACCGTTTGTTGCTCTATATCTGACAGTTATTCCATCCAATTCTTCTTATTTTTATGCTATAATTGGTGGAGATAAATCGACCTAGTTATACAGGGTGGTCCAATGAAAAGTAACTCTCCTAGTATGTTGTGGAAAAAATGCTTGGGCACATCAATTTTGATTTTTAGCGGCAGGTATTTTCATCTGTAGCCAACACAGGGTGATCCAAAAATAAGATATTGCATTACACTTTAGTTTTTTAAATGGAAATCCCCATTTTTTTCTGAAAGTACTTTGAGCCTCTGCGCTTTTGTGGTTTGCTCATAATGGATTATCTCTGAATACCTCAGAAACAAATGCGTTTGTTTTTCAGTTAAGAAAAAAAATCGAAGCTACAAACATCACCTTAGCAGAAAGAATAGAAGTCCCTCTGACAGACTGTGGAAAATTCTTGGGAGTTCATATTGACCAAGCACTTTCCTGGGCTGAGTCCATTGTACGTTTTGGAATAATTTTTTTCAGACATAGTAGCCATACCAATAGGATCTTTCTAGAGATACTTGTAGAGGAAAATTTAAGAGTAATAAAATTTTAACTGTAGCTGCAATACATTTATATTCAAGAGATTCTAATTTTTACATTTATTTTATCGGTAACCCATAAAGTGACTATAACACAATAAATAGAAATATAAATCTTCTGTATCCAATCCATCATCTCACGGTTACCGAAAAAAAAGGCCATTAGAGCTGCACTAAAATATACAGGGTGACTTTGAAGTTGAGTCATTAATTTTCAGATAATGATTGTAGAAGGAAGATAAACCAAAATATGTGTGTAAAAATAAAAAATACAAACAAATGTTACCTTGTTTTATAAAGTATCCTCCCGACAAGTATTTCAGTGCGGACCTGTATTTGATCGTGCGGTCTTGGAGCAACGGCATGCCCTCCCCTGTGATGTGTTAAGTCACCTGATTCACGAGCCCTTTGTACTACATTAACAAAGGCACGAGGGATTGGTTGCACTCGATTGGGAAACCGATTCTCATAAATCCGTGATGTCCACAAGTTCAGCATTTTCGTAAACATGTGCCATTTTTTATTTCGTTTGAGCCACTCAACAAACACCACTATTCACTCACGCGTTACCGACTGACACATTGACTGAATACAACTGAACAAAATTGTAGTAAAAACATCGTGATAAGCGTTTCAAATTATTTCGCTTTTTTGTTTCTGATGCGATGAATCGATAAGGCGGATTATATCCGTTGTTGCCAAACACGAGCACATAATATTATTATTGAGACAGGGCGGTACTCAAACTTCTAAAGGGCTATAACTTTGTTACTTTAATTTTACCAGAAAAATGTTAAAGGAAAAAAACATTTCTTTTGATCAGATCTACTCACTGTTAAAATAAATGACTCAACTTCGAAGTATAATAAGTTACCACAAGAAATTAAAAGGTTGGCAGATATAAAAGAATATAAAAAGAGTATTTATCAATTGTTAATGCACCTAGAACCATATGACCTTCAAGAATATTTTGAAATTTAAAATATCTATTATGTTATATATGTTTTGCCTCTTTGTTTTTTCTGTCTCGATGACACTGTGACGTATATTCCACCTAACAGTGTGTAATACATAGTAATCATGGACTGTTATTTTGAAATAAAGATTTATTATTATTATTATTTTTAACTTTTGTATAATCAAGTTTGTACCTATCTTCAGTCATTGTGAAGTTATTTGAGTTCTTAATAAAATTCGACAATCTATGGATACCATCAAGAACATTTAGCATCAGTCAGTGTCATTGTATCATAGAAAAACTTTGGCTTTCACTTCAAATTGTTAAGTTACCTACCTACTTCATGGAGAATGGCTGCTTCGGTATAAAAAAATAGATCTTTGGCTCGCTAGGGAGCAAATAAATCGATTTGTTTTAAAAATTAAATGTATATTTAAGAAATATCAGTCATATATCATTAAACATTAAACTTAATGATGATGGGCATGAGCATTGTCATAATAACACTTCATGACGTGCAGAGATGTTTCTTCGGGTGTGTCCTTGTGCTGGACGCATTCCTCGATTTTGTGGACAACTTCGTCTGTGTGTCCGCGCTCTTTAACAATCTTGCTCAGCTGAGCTTTGTCTACTTCGCCATTGGATTTCAGGATGTGGCTCTTTTCTAGCATGCATTTGCTGTGTGCGCCAACCTGCAAAAAAACGTAGAATTATTAATAATGCATAACGCAGTTTAAATGCGATAAAGAGGATAGGACATAGGATAGCACCTCACTTATTTACTTCAAGCAAATTCCTCCGAAAATGCCAAAAAATAAGACAAAACACAACGATTCATATGCATAGTTTATTATATGCAGTTTTTCTAGAATTGGTGGTCAGATGGCCAAAAACAAAATTTCGCTTATTTTTTAATGTAAAGATCATTTTCAAACGCTTACAAGCTGACATTCACATCAAAAACAGATTTCAATGAAACTTCTATAGTACTTGGAGAGCACAGCATAATGGTGTATTCAAATTTTAAAATATTGTACAAAATGTTTTTTCGAAAAAAAAACATACTCTTAGATTCTGTTATGGTCATACGAGGGATGTCTTTAAAGTTTTGCATGTAGAAACATAGTAGGCCGCGCGGATCGAACGTCAGTACTGAATCTTAACCTCAGTCTTTAGTAAACTGAAATTCCAAGTTTCACAACAATACGTGCAGTGTTCTCACTACAGTGAATTTTTAAGTGTCACCAAGTCATTAGAAAAATGGAACTCAACCGAAAACATTTTCGCGCCATAATTTATTGCAACTTTCAGAGACAATTATCGCAACAAGAATGCCTTGCTGAGTTACTGTCTGTTTTCGGCAACGAAGCGCCACATCAGTCGACAATTTCCCGTTGGTATGAAGAATTCAAACGTGGAAGGGTGACGATCCCAGGGTGGGTGCAAACTGCGCAAACTCATCATTGAAGATAGACATGTGACATAGAGTGAGATTGAGGCGTCTTTGAAGATCTCAAAGACCTCAATTCAAAAAAAATTACATGAAGAATTAGGAGTAAGAAAATTAGTTTCTTGTTGGATACCCCACCTGTTGACTGAAGAGCAGAACGCAGCCAGGGTTAATTGGTGTCAAAAAACGCTTGACCGTTTCAATTCCGGAAACTCAAAAAATGTGTACAGCATTGTTAGTGGTGATGAATCGTGGATTTACTGTTATGAACCAGAAAATAAACGACAGGCGGCTGTTTGGGTGTTCCAAGGTGAAGAAAAGCCAACAAAAGTCATCCGTTCTCGAAGTGTTTCGAAAAAGATGGTCGTGACATTTGTGTCAAAAGCGGGTCATATTGCAACAATTCCTCTTAATGAGCAAAGAAGTGTTACTGCGGATTGGTATACCGCCATTTGTTTGCCAAAAGTCATCACCGAGCTTCGAAAAATCAACCCCGAAAGAAGAATGATCCTCCAGCAAGATAATGCAAGCTCGCACACAGCCTAAAAAACAAGGCAGTATTTAACGGAAGAAAACGTGGAATTATTGGACCATCCTCCATATAGTCTCGATCTAAGTCCTAACGATTTCCTTTCTTTCCCGAAAATTAAAAACAATCTGCGTGGTCAAAGGTTCCAGTCACCAGAAAAAGCAGTTGACGCATTCAAAAATGCCGTTTTCGGTCTGCCAGCAAACGAGTGGAATAAGTGCTTCGAAAATTGGTTCGAGCACATGTGTATTAATCTTCGCGGAGAGTAGTTCGAAAAACAATAAAGTCATTAAAAACTACCTACCGTGTTGTTTTATTTCCATATGCAAAACTTAAAAGACATCCCTCGTACTAGTACACCTACAGGAATCAGTTACGTCACAAAATACCTCTGGAGAGTTGCAAAGAAGGTTATAGTCCTCGCTGAAATTGATCTAGATGCTGAGGCAACTGTTGGAAGACTCTTATGAAGAACATTTTGTGAAAACCACCGTTTTGGGGTCACCTATAAAGCTCCCAGCTAAACTTTCTGCATTGATATGGCTGTCCTACCTTTGAAATGGTAGATTGCCACAGTGGACGATTTTGGTGATAGGTGACTTATTTCGATAGATCATACTTCGTGGATAGAAGATAGTTGCGTCCGTTGTCCCAGATACGAGATATCAAACCTAGACCATGCTGATGAGTAGCCAAAAAACACTAAACAGCTGTTCATGTTTAGTCTGTCATCGCCAGATCTAGGCCTCGGACTATTCCCGAAATTGAAAGAATATTTACGATAATGCATTGGACTAGTTTTCAGCATCTGGACAGATTTGTAATCGGAAAGATGTAAATGAATTGCAAGTCGGGTAGGAACGTATTACGGTGATCAACCTTTATTTTGGAATTCGAAAATGGGGTGAATCACCCTGCTTCAGATAGTATGAATTGATCATGGCTAGCTCACCTTGTTCTTGTCGTACGCTTCTCCTTTCCTGATTTTTTTCAAGTCTTCCTCGTCAATGTGGGTGGCAGGGTCTTTCTGGCATTCATCGTGTACTTCGGGAGCTCCCAGACCATGATGGTGTTTGTGGTGGTGCTCGTGACTTTCGTCGGATTCGTGACTGTGGCTAGCAGACACGCAGGCCTGTTGAGAACGTGTTATATTTTACTTCTCTTTAATTGAAAGGATAGTAGAGATTTTTCAGACAGCTCATCTAAAGAAAATTCAGTTTTCCATTGTGTATGTATCTCGACAACCACTGTACGCATGGAAATAAATGACCATGTTTCGTAAACCTCTCACAACTTTTGCATATATTGTCTTTGGTCATAGATACATAGATCTTCAAAAACTACAATGCTTCCTCATCCAATGGCGTAGGAAGCAAAACGTATTTTATTGAGGGCAAAATTTAGCTTGAATAGCAATGATTGATAAACATGTAAAATTAATGTAAAAAGTTAATTTCTATTTTGAGGAGCAAGACAGTTCTTATTATAAAAAGGGTATCGAACTTATTGAACATCGCTAGGAAAAGTGTATAGAGCTCAAAGGAGATTATGTTGAAAAATAAATACATTTTTTTACAAAAAAATTGTGTTTTCTTCGTTGGGTCGGGTACTTCTGGGACCACCCTCGTATATCGTTTTTTCGAAGAAAAAACGCAGTTATGCAGAATTTCATTTTATTTTCATATAATTTATTTATATTGAAATTCATATAAATAGAACAAAAGTAAACCTTTCCAACATCTAATAATTCAATTGAATCATTACATGAGTACGTTTAATAATTACATTCAACAAAAATAGGTGCTTATATAAACAAACATGTTTTCTCAGATTTCTGTCCCAGAAATGTTACTACTCCCTTGACGAATGCTTTACTACTTGATATCCAGTATCGTTGTTATTAATATTATTATTTTAGCTGGTATGAGACATTTTTTATTTTTTTCTATTTGTTAAATGTTCTGATCGATCTATCTATTTACCGTCATTGCTCTTAATAGGTTTGTTATATGTCTAATATGTGTTCATTGCATATGTGAAAATTCGCATTTTTAACTACACTTTTTTTTTAGCTATTTGTCTATTTCTTGTTACTGTAATATTTATACAACTGATCATGTCGTGCAATTTATTTATTTATGTAATGTATAAGTTTGTCTTATGTCATAATTTTTAATTACCAATAAGACAATAAAGATAACCTATCTATCTATATCTTAAATTAAACCAAGAATATTTTCAAAATTGTTATTTCAGTGCAAAGGCAATTATTTATAACGATAGATACTCATTGACAAACAATAGAATTATTAAATAAAAGCTAAATATACTAAGTGACATATAAATCCGAACACCCAGTTTAAATGGTTTTATTTTAATCAAAGTTGGTGAATGTATTTATCTTACTGTAAATAACAAGTGAAAAAGCCTTATCAGTTGGACATTCCGGTTTTTATACTGCTTTTTTTTTAATTCACTAACGCTCTAAAAATGAATATTTCAGCCGCAGTAAAGAATCAACGTTGGCGGATTTTGGTTCTTGACATCCTTTACGATCGGTTACGATGCCTAGAGTACGGAGACCTGATTTCGTCAACTTAGTGAGTTTGATAGGAGCCGTATAGTGGGACTTCGGGAAGCTGGACTTTCTTTTCGGGCAATTGCAGTTAGAGTGCAAAGAAGTGTAGACACTGTGGTTAGATGTTGTCAGGCATGGCTTCGAGAAGGCCGTACGCAAAGAGCAAGGGGCACTGGACGCCGTCGTAGAACAACAGACCGTGAAGATCGCAGCCTAAGATTATTGGCCTTAAGGGAACGTTTCTCCACTACCATGTCCATTGCAAATGAATGGTTTGCAGAACACGGAAGACCTATTGGCAAGCGAAGTGTTTACCGACGAATGAGAAGATTTGGCTTGTTTTCATACCGGCCACACTGGGTCCTCCCTTTAACTCGAGAACACCGACGTAATTGCCTTGAGTGGTGCAGACAACGGTCACTCTGGGATCAGGAATGGAACAGTATTGTCTTTAGTGACGAGTCTCGATTTTGTTTAGGCATGCACGATGGTCGTGCCAGGGTTAGAAGGCGACATGGTGAAAGGAGGAATCCACAGTTTTTTGTTGAGACATGTTCATCACACTGTTGGAGTTATGGTTTGGGGTGCTATAGCTTATGGTTTCAGGTCACCTTTAATCTTTATCAGAGGTAACATGAACGCGCAGCGTTATATCCACGAAGTTCTAGAACCCCATCTTTTACCCTATCTTGACACCCTGGCACATCCAACTTTCCAACAAGATAATGCCCGACCACATGTTGCAAGAGTCACAATAGACTTCTTTCAACATAATGATGTCACATTGTTACCATGGCCATCAAGATCTCCTGACTTATCCCCAATTGAGCACGTGTGGAATATGATGAGTAGGAGATTGCTCAATTTGCAACGTCCTCCTCAGACTCTAGAAGCACTTCGAGAGGAGTTGGTGGTTGCCTGGAATAAGATACCACAGGAGGACATTGACCACCTGATCAGAAGCATGCCTAGGCGCGTTGGAGAATGCGAAGCACATCAGGGTGCATCCACACATTATTAAAGGTCAAAGGGCTTTAAAGCATTGCAATCATTTTGAAATTTTTATCATTTACTTATTATGCTTCTTTAAGTACTTATACAAAATTTTATTAAAATAAAACCATTTAAACTGGGTGTTCGGATTTATATGTCACTTAGTATAAGTAAACATTATAATAGGTGATAAAAAGGTAAAAAGGCAGCACTTGTAGCATGGAGAAAATAAAACCAGTAAAGTTTGAGGACTATTGCTTTTTTGCTTAGGAAATGTACTGAATAATTATGGAATGTTTGACAAAATGAAAAACTGTTTATGTTAAAATACGTGATCAATGATATGTTTTGTAATCGTGATCATGACAGAAATGTATTGATGTCAAAATTTACCTAAGTACGACTGGTTCTTTCAGAAACAAAATTGTACTAGATTTTGAAAAAGTTTTTCACGGATTTTAACAGTCAATTTCAACAAAACGTATTTTTTGCGACATCAGATCCTCCCCAAATTTTAATCTATTCTAAATTAAAACGTTGATTAGCTGCAAAAAGATATTTCAATATTTAGGGGTATTCATAGATAACCATCTAAGATGGAATATACACGTTGAAAATTTAATAAGAAAATTAAAATGCCTGATTCCGAAAATCAAATATTTCAGCAGTTTTTAAGCGAAAAATATCTACACATCTAGCAAGCGGGGGGGAGTCATGAATAATTATTATAAATTAATAGTTTGAGGGTTGTGTTGAACAAAAAGAAATGTTATTACACAGAAAATATTTACAGTGAATCTCATTCTTTCGACTGTCGGCAGATATATTTTTATCATACAATAATATATTTAACAAAAAATCAAAAATTGTTACAATCTATCAGCCATAATCAAACTCGATTCAAGGAAACATCTGCACTAATTCCTAGACTAAGTAAAACTATTCTACTTTCTATGCTCAACATTTTATAATGCAAACTTTAAACATATAAAATGTAAAAAACGTTTAAAAATTGAATTTAAGTTATGGATCCTAAATCAAAGAAGGCTACAAATCCATAACTTTGTAGACTACAAAAATCAATATGTTATTTGATAATAAATTGGTGCAAATTTATACGTTTGACTAGTATACTTCTAGGAAATTTGTTGAATTCATATAAGTCCAGTTCAGTTGAAACCCAAGCACAAGTGTAGACTTTTTTGGGTATATCATGTTTATTGGGCAGTGCCGTTATTATTTATATGAAAACTGTGTACTTAGACCAATAAACATTATTTTTATTATTATATAATGCGTATAAACCAACTATCTGAGCTTACCACTGCGAAAAGGGCCACGCTTACGAACAGTAGGAAAGTCTTCATGTTTGTCGAGTCGTCTGTCTTTTTCAACTAACGATTCTAATTAGCATCTCACATTTATTTATATGCAGAGAGAATGGCTTGTTTTCTTATTGTTTACCAGTTAGGTAATCATAAAATTGATAAAAACGGACTTATCGATGAAGTATTTTTTCATTTCGTTGACCTTTGCGTATGCGATGGTTCTTGGTATGTAATTGTGATTTTCTTATCCCCCGCTTACTCAACTCTCTATGATTCCGACTGAAAATAGTGTCAGGGCAGCGGCACTATCACAGCAGCAAAAAATTTGACCAAGATATCTGGGATTCGAGAGAAAAAAATTAATAAGCCATTTTACAAATTTGATAAACTAGTTTTTCGTGATATACATGTTATATAAGATCCAAAAACGTAATATCTCATTTTCGATTACAATGTTTCCCCGCTAGTAGGCGTGGGAAGTAAATACCAATAATTATGTTTTTGATGACATTAAGTGCGACTGTTTTGTTTATTCATCGTTTATCCAACTAGCCTGTTTCTATCAGTCTACCTGACACAAAACTCAAATCTTAAAACGTTGCTAATTGAGTAGGTAGTCCATTTTTTGGGCAAAATGAGTTGGGTTTATATTCTTGCACAGTTTTAAATTCTGAACCCTCCAGTACATAAACCAACTCTGTAACATTTAAAATGTGGAAACTGAAGTGGTTGGCTGCGCTTTTGCACTTTGCATAAAACGATAAAGTCCACCTGGACAGCACAGGTACCCCAAACCCGGACATACGAGGGTGGTCCCAGAAGTACCCGGCCTGACCTAGAGATGGCGATAGTTGTTTGAAAAATGTTGTATTAGAAAGTATGCAACCTATAAAGCGTATGTGTCAAGTTTGAAGACATATTTGTTTGACAGCTATCAATACTGAACGATTTCAGTGAATTTGTGAAAATAGAGAAAATTGGTCATCGTTTCAGTCAAGTCATCGTTGGTTGTCAGAGCGGTCCGTGGGACCTTAGCTCTTGAGTCACAGTGTCAGTTTGTAAGTGTGTCAGGTCTGGTAACCCAGAAACCAGACAATTTTAAGGAATTGGTCATCGTTATGTGGTACAATACTTTTATTTCAAAGACCTCAGCCCAACCAATATAAAAGCTGAACTTGATTCTACTCTGGGTGGCCAAATAAGGTGACGACTCCAGAAATGGTGAAGAAAATTCACAAAGCAGTACTGAATGATCGTCGACTGAAAGTGCGCGAGCTAGCAGATATAGTAGGCATTTCAAAAACTGCGGTTCATCGCATATTATCTGAAAATTTGGACATGAGAAAGCTGTGTGCAAGATGGGTGCCGCGATTACTCACAATCGAGCAAAAACAGTGTCGTGAAGGTGTTTCAATTGAGACTTTAGCAAAGTTTCACAGCAACAAAGCAGAATTTTTGCGTCGTTTTATAACCATGGATGAAACATGGGTCCATCACTTTACACCTGAGACAAAAGAACAATCAAAACAATGGACTTAAAAGGGACAACCAGCTCCAAAGAAGGCGAAGACCGTTTCATCTGCAGGCAAGGTTATGGCGTCGGTTTTTTGGGATGCGCGTTTGATAATTTTCATTGACTATCTTGAAAAAGGTAAAACTATCAACGGCGAGTATTATGCGAACTTATTGCAACGTTTGAGCGATGAAATCAGCAAAAATGGCCGCATATGGTTAAGAAGAAGGTGTTGTTTCATCAAGACAATACACCAGCTCACAAATCCGTTATTACAATGGCCAAAATTAACGAATTAAAGTTTGAATTGCTACCTCATGCACCCTATTCACCAGATGTACCCCCCCTCGGATTATTTTCTGTTTCCAAACTTGAAAAAATGGCTCAGTGGTCAAAGATTTTCCAACGATAAAGAAGTGATGGCAATTAATGGCTATTTTGAGGAGCAAGATAGTTCTTATTATAAAAAGGGTATCGAACTTTTGAGCATCGCTGGGAAAAGTGTATAGAGCTCTAAGGAGATTATGTTGAAAAATAAATACATTTTTTACAAAATTTTTGTGTTTTCTTCGTTTGGTCGGGTACTTCTGGGACCACCCTCGTAGTTTACTTCTGTGCTATAGGAGCTTTGGAGCCATAGGTATACAAAAAAGAAAGCACACAAAATATATTTGCTGCAAGAGTACTCAAAAATTATTGAAAATACAAACAAAAACTTCAAAGTCATCCATGTAGCGCACGATATATTTTTAAATTTCAAGCGCCATTTGGAACAGTTGTTTGTAAAGAATCCTTCAAGGAATAAAAGTAAATTTACGATTTTAAAATATCGAATCGTGCGCTATGAAAAACTGCATAATGAAATATTATTCAAATGTAGTAAAACAGTCTCTTTGTACGAGTTTAATATTTTTGAAATCCGAGATAAGAGGAATATGCAGCCGCTGACGCCACCAAACAGTACAAATGAGATGTATAGTAAAAAAGAAAGCTAAAGAAAAATAAATTTGATTTGACTAAAAACTATTTGCCACAATGTGATCAGTGGTTCTATGAAGCAATCAGAAAATATCATCAGAGCTTTTCGCCATATTATAAAGAAACTACCGCATCAGAATTCAGTGAAGATGAATAAATGAAAATATGGTAAGTTTGTATCAAAGGTTGAATTCAACCATGTGTTATTTCATTTCATTCAGTGACATAACAAAAAATAACATTTTTCACGTCAGTTTTTTTTTTATTTTAATAAATGTGTCCCTTAAAAAAATCAAAAAACTGCATAAACAAGTCGAGTCCTTTAATCTTTACCTCATCATTTATTTTTTTTTTATTTACAGATTGCTATATTTTGACAATAATACAGTAGAATTATCTGCAATTGACAACAAATATGAAAATTTTCACTTACTAAAAAAATTTTCCTCGTGTGACTTGACTCGTTTATGCATTGGACCCCTCAATTTGATTCCATTATTTTGTGTAGTTGACGAGTAATTAAATTCATATTTCCATGTTCGGTAAAAGGGTAATCATTTGTTAATAAATAATAGTGTTATTTTGAAGATATTGTCAAAAAATCGAATGAGATGGATGACAGTTATGCTGAGTGCCGTTTTGAAAAATTGCGAGTCAAGCAAAAACGCATTTCGATATATAGACAGGAGAAAATTGTAAAATTGACCAGTATAAATGCTTCTACTTGAGCATAAACGCTTAGAAACGACATCTGCTAGTGACTTAGAGAATATATACAGACAACGGTCACTCTGGGATCAGGAATGGAACAGTATTGTCTTTAGTGACGAGTCTCGATTTTGTTTAGGCATGCACGATGGTCGTGCCAGGGTTAGAAGGCAACGTGGTGAAAGGAGGAATCCACAGTTTTTTGTTGAAAGACATGTTCATCACATTGTTGGAGTTATGGTTTGGGGTGATATAGCTTATGGTTCCAGGTCACCTTTAATCTTCATCAGAGGTAACATGAACGCGCAGCGTTATATCCACGAAGTTCTAGAACCCCATCTTTTACCCTATCTTGACACCCTGGCAGATCCAACTTTCCAACAAGATAATGCCCGACCACATGTTGCAAGAGTCACAATAGACTTCTTTCAACATAATGATGTCACATTGTTACCATGGCCACCAAGATCTCCCGACTTATCCCCAATTGAGCACGTGTGGGATATGATGGGTAGGAGATTGCTCAATTTGCAACGTCCTCCTCAGACTCTAGAAGCACTTCGAGATGAGTTGGTGGTTGCCTGGAATGAGATACCAAGGGAGGACATTGACCACCTGATCAGAAGCATGCCTAGGCGCGTTGGAGAATGCGTAGCACATCAGGGTGCATCCACACATTATTAAAGGTCAAAGGGCTTTAAAGCAGTGCAATCATTTTGAAATGTTTATCATTTACTTATTATGCTTCATTAAGTACTTATACAAAATTTTATTAAAATAAAACCATTTAAACTGGGTGTTCGGATTTATATGTCACTTAGTATAGTTCAAAGGTAAGACATTAGGCTGCACTTTCCCAGGAAACCATAAGAAAAAAACTCTCATAAATGAAACATTTCCCGATATTCTAAAAGGTTTATAGTATTTTTAAGCCCATAAAGTATCTATTTTTTAATAATATACAGTGGTGTAACCGCTTAAGAGTTTATCTTGGTCATTGACTTATTTTTCAAACCGCAAATCTAATACGATAGAAAGCTTTATCAGTCAAAGACCGTTTTATAACGATATTTGATCCCATTCAAATTAATTACCACAATATTAGTAGTCAATGCTTGTTTTCATTGAAATCCACATAACGCGGAATATTATTGATATTCACTATTTGTCAACCTACTTTTCATTTGTGTCACGGATTGGGAATAGTTATTGATATATTGATAGACATAAGGTTCCGTTTTAGGACCGTTGCTATTAATTATACAGGGTGGCCCAATGAAAAGGTCGCACTCCCAAAAAGAAAAACGCTCGCAATGGTCAATTTTGATTTCTAGCCGTACAATACAAAGTGATTCAAAAATAATATATTGCGTTACACTTTAGATTCTTAAATGGAAACCCCCACTTTTTAATTCTTAGATTTTCCATGAAGCTTTTAGTAACTTAATAAGATTCGACTAACTTAATACTGATAATAATGGAATGCTCGGCAAAAAAATAATAATCATGGATACCAGTAAGAACATTTAGCATCAGTCAGTGTCATTGTAGGTCATCAATGGTTGCTTCAATAATAAAAACAGCATTTCTCATTCTCAACTGACTGATCTATTGCTGTCATTAATTTTCTTTTCCTCATTTGAGTTTTGATTAGTATCAGGCTGTGTGCTCTGAGTTGGGATGAGCAAAGTTTCTTGTAAATCTATCTCCGAATCTGAAGATGAATGTTCTTGCACTGGTTCTTGAGATCGTCAAATGAGTTAAGGCAGCAACATATTTAGCTCGACGCTTTTTTTCTTCAGTGTTCCTAAGACGCGCCTTTTCTTCTTTTATGGCTAATTTCTTGTACAACCCAGCTAAATGACCAGGTGGACCTGGCTCTTTCTGCCGCTATAAGAAGATTCTTATATATCAAATAGATTATCCAAGTTCGTA